AAACTAAAAAATGTTCAAAAATAACGATTATGACAATTGTCACTTTTCCATAGTACATCTTCAGTGAAGTATTAATTTAACATTTTTACAAAACATATTTTTAACTATTTACTTTAAAAAAACTCAAAAAATGTTCAAAAATAACGACTATGACAATTGTCACTTTTCCATAGTACATCTTCACTGAAATATTAATTTAACACGTTTACTAAACATATTTTTACCTATTTACTTTAAAAAAACTAAAAAATGTTCAAAAATAACGATTATGACAATTGTCACTTTTCCATAATACATCTTCACTGAAATATTAATTTAACATTTTTACAAAACATATTTTTACCTATTTACTCTAAAAAAACTAAAAAATGTTCAAAAATAACGATTATGACAATTGTCACTTTTCCATAGTACATCTTCACTGAAATATTAATTTAACATGTTTACAAAACATAATTTTACCTATTTACTTTAAAAAAACTAAAAAATGTTCAAAAATAACGATTATGACAATTGTCACTTTTCCATAGTACATCTTCACTGAAATATTAATTTAACATTTTTACAAAACATATTTTTACCTATTTACTTTAAAAAAACTAAAAAATGTTCAAAAATAACGATTATGACAATTGTCACTTTTCCATAGTACATCTTCACTGAAATATTAATTTAACATGTTTACAAAACATAATTTTACCTATTTACTTTAAAAAAACTAAAAAATGTTCAAAAATAACGATTATGACAATTGTCACTTTTCCATAGTACATCTTCACTGAAATATTAATTTAACATTTTTATAAAACATAATTTTAACTATTTACTTTAAAAAAAATCAAAAAAGTTCAAAAATAACGACTATGACAATTGTCACTTTTCCATAGTACATCTTCACTGAAATATTAATTTAACACGTTTACTAAACATATTTTTACCTATTTACTTTAAAAAAACTAAAAAATGTTCAAAAATAACGATTATGACAATTGTCACTTTTCCATAATACATCTTCACTGAAATATTAATTTAAAATTTTTACAAAACATATTTTTACCTATTTACTTTAAAAAAACTAAAAAATGTTCAAAAATAACAATTATGACAATTGTCACTTTTCTATAATACATCTTCACTAAAAATTGCTTTTAAAAACTTAAAAAAGTTCAAAAATTACGATTATACCTTTTGTCACTTTTACCTATAAAATTAGGAATCAAAAGATTAAAAATTACGTTAAAAATAAATTATATAAATATCATTTAAAAAAAATATCAATCAAAAAATATATTTAAAAAAATTATGACAAATTAAAATATCTTATCTCTAAAAAAAAATATCAATCAAAAAATATATTTAAATAAATAATAATAACACAAATAAAAAAAAAATTTAGCTATCAAAAAATATATCAAGAAAAAATTTACGTGAAAAATAAATACATAAAAAACCATTATAATAAAAAATATCAGTCAAAAAATATATATAAAAATAATATAACAAATTAAAATATATTTTCTAAAAATTATCTTAAAAAAAACAATCAAAAAATATATTTAAAAAAATAATATAACACAAAAAATTAAAAAAAATTTAGCTATCAAAAAATATATCAAGATAAAATTTACGTGAAAAATAAATACAAAAATAATATAACAAATTAAAATATATTACCTCTCAAAAAACAAAAAAAAATTAGCTATCAAAAAAAATCTACGTAAAAAATAAATATATCAATCAAAAAAAATATGTAAAAAATAATATAACAAATATATTATTTCAATATACTTAAAAAAAAATATCAAAAAAAATATATTATATATTACCTCTAAAGTTTTATTTAAAAAATAATATAAACCAAAAAACAAAAAAAAATTATCTATCAAAAAAAATCTACGTCAAAAATAAATATTTAAAAAAGTAATTATATTAAAAAAAATATATAAAAAAAATTATATTAAAAAAAATTATCAATCAAAAAAAATATATAAAAAAATAATTATATTAAAATAAAATATCTATCAAAAAAAATATGTAAAAAAATATATAACAAATTATAATATATTATAATATATTAAAAAAAAATATCAATCAAAAAATATATTTAAAAAGATAATATAACAAATTAAAATATTATATCAAAAAATAAATTAATATTAAATAAATAATAAATTAATATTAAATAAATAATAAATTAATCTTAAATAAATAATAAATTTATAAATTTGTAAAATACACATTGCCTAAAATAACCAGGCAATGTATACATTGCCGAAATCTCACATTTACATTGCCTACCACTACCTCACATTGCCGCTAACATATACACAAATAAAATACATTATAACTAGGGATGCACCGATTTATCGGTCGTAGGATATTTTACCTTTTTTAAATATCGGTTATCGGCTGATATTATAAAATTTCCCGATCCGATAAAATGGCGTCTTAATTTAAAAAAATTTATTTCAAATTTCATAATATATTTGTTTATTACTTATTATGTAAATAGATTAATGTTAATCTTAATATATAAATAATTGATTTATCAATAAAAATATTTTATATAACTTTAAATTCATAAAAATAAACTATAACTGATTATTATAATATATTTAAATGACTTATGGTAGATTTAAATTATAAATGTTATATTAAAAAGTATGATGAGTATGCAATAAAAATTAATCGACTTGTATGTTTACAGAATACAATATCGGATATGTAATCGGCCGATATCAATTTAATATCCGCAATATCGGATCGGTCTCCAAAAAGTGGTATTGGCATACACCTAATATAAACCAAAAAAAAAGATTTATTAAATTTTCTTTATAAAGTAGCGGTAACTAATAGCGCGCTACCTCTTTTGGCAAATAGGGGTAGCGGTGTAGCACGCTCCTTTTAAAAGTAACGTTTAACAAAACTGATTGTTAGAAATGGCAGCACAACGCTGGATGTACAGAATTTTAATATCGGATCAGCCCGATCGCTCGTATTTTTTAAGAATACCTGTTATTGACTGAAATATATCAAAATGAGGGATAACAATTATTTATAATATAATAATGTTAATATCATAGGTTTTTCTATAAAAAGCAAGAGAGTTGAGAGTTTCGACCGCCCTTTCATCTAGTTAATATCAAAATGAAATTTTAACTCATTATAAATTATATTAACTGAGATAGGTATAAACCCCGCTTTTTTTAACCCTATACTGATGTTAAATAATTAAAATTAAAAAATAACTTAGTTCGAATATAATTATGGGGGGAAGCATCAAAATTTGATTATTTAATATATGTCTATTTGAAAATTAACATTTCGAATATATTATGAACTACAATTTTTCAAATTTCTTTTCTATTTTTCTAATAATTTCTTGAATAATTAGCGTAACTGGGTATTAATTTTAAAAAATATCGCGAATAATGAATTAATGTATAGATGGACCTATATATCAACATTTCAATGTAATATAAAACTTCCTTTATCGTTTAAAATTGATTTACAAATAGGGTTATTATTTAAAAAAAACATTAATCTACATCAAAAAAAATAGTGAAAGATAAGGACTTAAATAAGCAAAATCTAAATTAAGTAACCAAATTGCATTATTAATCACCACTTGCTTCAATTAGTTTGTAAAATTAAAAATAACATATTTTAAAAATTACAAATAATATTTATATCATCGACATTGGTATTAGAATTTAATTGTATAATTTAGAAATTTATATCTAATGAACATTTCAAAAGAGATTACCTTTATACTTATTTTATTTTTTACACAATAATACAAAATTTGATTTTCAAAAATAATAGTAAGAAACTGAACGGAAAAATAATAAATTTATGAATGTAAAATATGCTCTTAAGAGAACAGGTTGAGAAGTAGCAATAGGTAATTTTAGTTTTAAAAAATTAAATTTGATTTGGCATTTTTATTTAAATCAGAAAATTTTAAAATAAAATTATTTTAGCCAAAAATATCAGCTGACCTTTTTCGACGCCGATATTGATAGTTAAATTATTTTAAAAATAATTAAATTATTATCATCGGCTCTTTAATTTAAAAAATATCAAATTACAAATATTTAATTTTTCACCAATTTCCTAACTTGTTCCCTTGAGCATTAGTCCTTTACTTGCAAAATATTATTAAACTGAAATTTTAAAAAATAATATTTTACAATCTTACACCATAATCCTTTAATTAAAATTTGGATTATTTATATTTGGTTTAAATCGCAATGAAAATTGCTTGTTTTTTTAACTTTAAAAAATCATAATATTTGATTTTTTTAAAAAACATAACGATATTTGCCAACCCTATTTACAAGTAATATCATGCATATTGAAATTTTTTTATTTTCATATTTTAAGAATAAATGAATTTAACGATAAAAAAAACCATTAATTGCATTGAAATGTTCAAATATAGTGCCAATACGTTTTTTATACATTATTCGCGATATTTTTTTCTAATAATTACCCAGATACGCTAAATATTGAAAAATTATTAGAAAAATAGTTATTGAATAATAAAAATTTTAAAAAATTGAAGTTCATAATCATTTCGAAATTTTAAATTATTTTACTTAGTTATTAATATTAGATTCTAATTCAACTAATTTAGTTATTTAAAAATTAAAACTATTTAACATGAGTAAAAGGCTTAAAAAAGCCAATTTTTATACCTTTAATCCCCATTATCTCAGGTATTATAATTGCTAATGTCTTCAAATATTACTAGAACATATATAACGTGCCTATATATTTTTATCGAAATTGAAATAAGTAGACCGAAAGTGTTTGATTTGACATGAAATGGCCTATAGTGTAAAGATTTTCCCTATTATTAAATTGGATCTATTGATAACGGATAGAATCGTCGATACACCCCTACTTGTAAGATTACATCAAATTTATCACATGTTAGGGTTATTGATAAAAAATTGATTATGAATAATAAGTATAAACAAGATATAATATTAAACCTTGATTCAGGCTATTGATATTCCTAAAATTATTTGAAGATTCGTTTTCTGGATGCTCATTATTATTAGGACTGTACGAATGGTCAATTCTATTTATATTAATATTAGGATCGGTTTGAACATAATTGTTAGTAGGAGGGATGTTGATGGATTGTCCGGCCTCTGAATCAAATTTTCTTTTAAGACGCTTGTATAGTATAAATTCCCTGAACTCTTGTTCGTCAGCCATTTCTTCTGACATCAAAGGTGCGGATTCATGATTAGATGGTAATTTGATTAAGGGTAACTGAGGTAAAATATGCTTATTGGCAGTAATAACTTGCCATGAATTTGCAACTTTTGGGTGAGGGTGACGAGAATGCTGCTGATCTTCGGGGGCAAATATCGTCTTTTTTCTAACGGGTGAGGGAATCCGAGTAACTTTGATGGGCAATAATTTAATCGTTTATAAACGTATAGTATTATGGTTAATTAATAGAATTATCAAAATAAAACTAATTATATTTTTATAACTAAAATTCATGAGATGACACTTAAAGTCCTTTATCTTTTTGTCAAATGGAAGCATTTTTAAATTTTTCAAACTATGGAATGTAAATCTTATATTTTTCTTATGCTTAATACTGCGTTTTATATGAGTTTTTGAAAATATAACTCGATTCAAAATGTAATGAGATTTTAACTATTATTTAACTAAACAGAAAAGAATAATAATATCTATAAAGGTATTTAATCATAATATTCAAAAATATTTTACAAGGAAAAGGAACCTTGTATTTAGATGTAATTGATTATTAAATCACTATTCAAAATCGATATTAAGATGTAACGTTAAAGTTTGTATTACGCTTATAACTAGGTTTCAATTTAGTGGCTGGCAAAAACTGATTGATAAATTAATAATTACTAATTAATTGATGCAGCCCAAATTAGAGATCTGAAAAAGTAGGCCCGGCCGTACCCAGACCGGCTCGAAAGGGCTTAGGGCCGGGCCATGAAAATTCGGGCAGGGTCGGGCCTTAGAAATTTTTTTAAATATATCTAAATTTATCAATTTTATGTAAAATAAAAATATGTGATTCTATTTATAGAAAGTAGACGCCATATAACAAATATCGTTTATTATGAGTAATTATAAAAATTGGGCCGGCAAAATTTTTTGAAAAAAATTTCGGGTTCGGGCCGGGCAAAACTTTATAAAAAAAATTTCGGGCTGGGCCGGGCTTGAAAAATTAGGCCCGATGCAGATCCTAGCCCAAATATTCAATGCTTATGCTTCTTTAATTTTAGTTTTGTCATATTGTCAATCTTAGCAATTTTTTCTTATTTTACCAGTAATCTTCTTCAAACCATCAAATTGTTTAAGACATCAAAATATACTAAATAACGCACTAATTATTAATATAAGTTTCAAAATCTTAATTATAGCTTAGGTCGTGCATAGTTTTTTGGTGCAATAAATATAGGGCAAATTAGATACTTAGAACTTCAACACTACACGTTCTGGCATATGCTAATTTGGCTACTTTTTTATTATTTTACACATACCCTTTTCTCATTTAAACCACGTATAGGGATGCAATTGCAGTAATTAAGCACTACTTAATAGTTTGGTATAAATTCCATAATCAGTGTTTAAAAATGTTTGGCTCTCAGGTTTAAAGAGTGACATTATAGACTTAATTTTGTTCTCGGCTTATTTTTTTAAGGTTAGCAAAACTAATTGAGGAATCAGTAAATACAAACCAGCCACTAATAAGGGACAAGCCAAATATTTGATTCTTCTATATTTTTACTTCTAACATGATGCCAATTTTCTTTATTTTGCTAATAACTTTTTAAATACTATCCAATCCACCAATAATTAAAATTAAAAATTGATAAAATTCAGAATAAATGCTGTCTGATTATTTTCAATAACAAGGTTGATCAAAATTTTGTTGCTAATAATTTATTTTAGAATAAGTGCTTAATTGTTGAGAAGCTTAACGGGGATGATAAAAAGAATATTACAAATATTATAAACAAAAATACTTAATCAGAGACCGGCAAGCCGGATCCGGATTTTAATTTTTTTAAATATACCTATGCCGGGTTTTAAATCTTTTTTTAAATAGGCCTGGCCTTATATTTTAAATCATCATTATTGTTTATAAAAATTAAAAATAATTATAATATATTTTAAAAAAATCCGTACCGGCCTTGAAAATATAAAATCCAGGCTAGGCCGAAAAATATTTTTTATAAAAAATCCGGGCCGGGAATGTTCAAATGGTATCTCTGCAGGTATATGATCAGTTATTCTATAGGAATTTAATAACCACCTCCCCCTCTCCTTGATAAATCCTAGCTATCTGAGTGGTATGCAATTATTTCTAAAATGATTTATCTCTAAATTAGAATATGAAGGCTCCAAAGACGATAGGTCTCAATAAATAATTTTTAAAAAAGAGGAATCAATTCGTAATTGTGATTACGACAAATCAAAAAATGTTGTGGAAACTTTTTAATTTTGTAAAAAAGTCAATATAAAATTTATGATATTGTAAATGAATAGATATGCAAGAGTCCATAATCCATTTTCTAAATGTATTATAATCAGGGTTTCGAACCGTTTAGTATAACGGTTCGGTTCGTTCCGGTTTTTAGTTTAAAATTTTATAAAGGTTTTGTTCCATTTCGGTTTTTTAAAAAAAAATCATATCGGTTCGGTTCGGTTTATAATTTATAACGGTTCTTTTCGGTTTGTTCCGGTTTTTATAAATTTAATTTTAAAAAAAATTAATCATTAACCATGTATATATTAATTTTAGAGAAAAATCTTTTTAGTTTATAATTTCTTATTTAATTTATCCATGATAATCTAATAGATATTTTTATTAAATTTAGGAAATATAAATTAGACAAATTAGTTTTTTTTTATTTTATAAATAAATAAGATAAAAACAAACATGCGTAAATACAATAATGAATAAAATAATATGTATACTATACTATTTAGGTTTAAAAAGAGAATTCGAAAGGATAACTAAAATATTTTTAATATTTCAGGATTTAATTTAGTTCTCTGGGCAGAGAGTATAAACTTAAGGCTTGAAAATGCTCTTTCTACGGAGACCTGCGTAACTGAAACTGCTAGCACAGTTATAGCTAACTTATAAAGTTCTGGCATACTATTCTTTACATTTTCCCAATAATTCAAAAGATTAGTATCTTTTTCTAATCTCTCTATATTATCAAATGAACGAATTATATATTCTATTTCTATACATTTATTATAATTTTCGATGCCCTGAGAATTATTCTTATTAAGACTTTCATGCGACTTTAATAAATCTTCAAAATCATCATCTAAATTATCCTTCGAATACGAACACGTAGGCATAGTATTTAGAATTTCAATATTCTGATTATTTAGATTTTGTATCAAGTTCCAAGTTTTACAAAGATGTTTTCTGGCGATCTCTCTTTCTTCAAAAGTTAAAAATACATTATATCTAGGGTCGAGATAAATAGCAGAGCAAAAAACTTCATTTTTGAAATTTATTTCTCGTGCTTTCATCGTAGAAACTAAAAGTCTGGCAAATGGAGTGTCCACTTTACTCGTTTGCATGAGACATTTGATCCACGCAGCATAAAAATCGCCCATTGTCAATTGTTCACTTTGTAAATATTTTGTCAAAACATAAGCTGGATATAAAGCTTTTAATATGTCACTAATTATTTTCCATTCATTCTCTGATAAACATTTTTCGCGATCGCTTTGGAGCGATATTTCTTGGCAAAAGCTTTTTAACTCTAGTAATCTCTCCAACATTAAATAGATAGAGTTCCATCTTGTACAACAATCTATTAGTGGTTTTTTCAAATTTAATTTTGAGGCTTTTTAACTCTAGTAATCTCTCCAACATTAAATAGATAGAGTTCCATCTTGTACAACAATCTATTAGTGGTTTTTTCAAATTTAATTTTGAGAGAATAGCCATTGTTGTCTGATTTCTTATTTTTTTGCAGATGTTTCTTGCTTTATTTATAATGACAATTTCATTTGAATTTTTAATGCAATCATTAATTGCTAATTGAAATGTATGTGAAGCACATCTAATACCTATTAATATGGATCTAGCATTTGGTGCAAGATTAATATTTTCAATATTAAAAAGTTCTTTATTTTCATCATGAATTATATCATTATTATTTAAATCGTCATTATCTATATCATTATTATTTAAATCATCATTAATTAAATAATCGTTAAGGTCATCATCTTCATCATCTTCTTCATCGTGTAGTATTAATAGCTTAATTAACTTAATCATATTTGCTGCATTATCGGTGGTTATTGTGTAAATCTGCTCAATTTTTATTTCATATTCTTTTAGAACATCTAGAATAATTTTTTTAAGATATTCTGATGTGTGTCGTTCTTTAATCACTTTCATGCATAGAGTCCTTAATTTTATTTTTCCGTTATTTATAAATTGAATATTGATCCCCAATATGGACCTATCATATCTAGTTGCTATATCTAATTTTAACGAATTAAGTTTTTGATATACTTCAGGAAAATTAAAATTTTAAATTTAGGTTAATAATTTAAAATTAATTATTTTTAAAACCGTTTTGAACCGGTTTAAACCGGTTCAAAATATTTATAACGGTTCGGTTCGCTCTTTTAATATTTTCTTCATAACGGTTCGGTTAAGGTTACGGTTCAGAAAATCATAACGGTTCATTCCGGTTTTGCGGTTCGGTTCGAACCCCTGATTATAATGGGAAATGTATACTTATGCCGCTTGTTGATCTAGATGAGAGCCCCAAAATAAAGGAATCAATTTTCCTATTTTTATTAATAATTTTAATTGTATATCTTGGAGTTTTATTATTAACTCCGGGATATAAAAAATGATGATTCTCGCTCATGTTTTTCACCTGAATACAATTACTTCTGATACTGAGAATGTTGAGTGTTAAAGATGGAAAAAAAGTTTTTTTTTATCCTCCTCTTTTATTATGGTTAAGATGAAAAAGTTTTTTAATCCCCCTCTTTTGTTAATGTTAAAGATAAATAAAGTTTTTTTTAATACCCCTCCTTTGTTTACAATAAAATGAATGTTAAAAAAAAGGTTTCTCTTTTTGGTCCTTCTTTTGTTTTAAATTAAACAGTGAAAATAAAACATATGGCTTTTGTGTTTTCTCTCACTTTACTGGATTTCTTACTTTAGGAGTCCTCAGTAAGGTGATCCGAAAATATGAGTTAGACCGTTGGGTCCGGGAGACCACCCTGCATCCCAAGGTATATTTTGAGTTTCGGGAAGTTTAGGGGGGTAGGTTTTATCCCCAATTATGTACGATAAAACTAACACAACTCGGTTCCACAAAAACGTTCTTTTTTTCACTTTGCGCCAATTTAATTTTAATTTATAATTGCGCCTTTTATTTTCCCTATAAAAGGGACGAATTTTTTATAGTTTAGATATACTTTATTTTTTTTCTGTAAAATAATTTTGAAAATCTTTACACACTTTTATGTTTAAAAATAATTTTGGAATTTTTATCAATAAAATATCATGACCCGATCTCAAAGTTCTTCATTGAGTTTGTGGCTTAGCAGTGCAAACAAATAGCATTATATGCTACTTCCTTAATTTCCCAATTTTTCTTTAAAATATAATTGATTTAAATTCGAATTAAATCAAGTGATTTTTTTTATAATATAGCAAAATATTTTCCAAAGGTTCCAAAATAATATTAAAATCTTTGTACATTTAGAGCGAAAATTTTGTAAATTCATAATGGTAATAAATCAAACATTGAATTACAGAATTATTTTTATTAATTACTGATTGTATTAATTAAAAAGTTTGATTTAAAATCTAAAATTGCATTTTTAAAAATAGATTAATCATTTAAATATATCCTGATATAATAATCTGAGGAGTCATCAATCGGGGGGGGGGGGGGGCTCAAGTTCCAAATATCTGTTAACTATGGACGGTAATGAGAGGTGCTAAATTCAGAATATATAAAAGAAATCAATTACTATTGATATCTCTATAATTTGAGGTGTGATTGAAGCTTATATCGACGGGTCTACTGTGAGACGCTTTGTTTAAGAAATCGTTGACCAGATCTAATTGATGGCTTGATCCGTCACTCTTTTTATCATCTTTATTAGAGCGAGAACTTACAACTATAATTCATGTATACATATTAATATAATAAATATTTACATACATTTCTCAATCATTAGAAAATCTAAAAAAAATTTTAAAAAAACTAACATTTACAAAAGATTGCTCCGAAAAATTGGTCTTCGGGAATATTGCCCCCAAAAATGCCGCTCCCCTTTTTTTAAAAAAAAATTCTTTTTTATAAATATTTTTTTAAAAAACCCTTAATTTTATTAAGATAATTGTCTAAAAAATTTTTAAAAAAATCAAAAATTTGAAAATTTTAATGAAATGTTAAAATTTTCTATTTTTTGAACATGTTATTATTCTTTCTTATATTTAAAAAACCTTATTTCTTTTTTATTGATAAAGTTTCAAAATATGCGAATCAATTTTTTGACATTTTGGACAAATCTAAGTTAAAAAAAATAATAACAATTAAACCATGATAAAAAATTTGCAAATTATAATACAACCTGCATCAATTTAGCTATTTTTTATTCACATAGTATATTCTCTCTATCAAGTTAGCATTCAAAAAATTATCACCCAACTTAAAAAAAAATCTATATACATAATTGTAATAATATTTGTTAGATAATTAAAACCATAAGCATTATTTTTTGGCCGGGCTTTTTATTTTTAAGCTTATTCCATTAAAATAATTTTGGCTGCATTTTGTAAATAATTTTAAAGGGAAATTGAAAATATAAAAAGTAAATGTATGTTAAAAGAATATATATTCCAGCTAATTAATTGGTAAAATTTTATTTTTTTTATTTTTTAAAGTGGCAGAAAAAAGGGTCTAATATTTGCCAAGTTGGCAATTTTTAATCCAAGCCTGGATTTTTAAATTTTTAAGTTACTACTCGCTTCAGGCTAGGTCTTGTTTTAAACGGGCGTGCAGATCTCTGAATAAAATCAGGCGCAGAAAATTGGGTAAGTTAAAATCTCATCTCTAAATTACTAATTATTTTCAATACATTTTGTGTTTTATACTAATCGCCGGGGTGGCCTAATGGGTAAGATGTAGGCTTGGAAACACGAGTATGAACAAGGACGCGGGTTCAATCCTGGTAAGAACCATAAAAACTTTCAAGTTTTTCTTCGATGACTGATGTGTAAAGACATATGGTATGATGAATTTCGGAGCTTAGAGATGACACCCCGGTCACCGACAGGCCTGGACAGCCGGGTGCTAAGGATACCTGTCCAATAAACAAATGAAGGACACAAATGAAAATATGAATATGAAAGCTAGGGCGTTCCCTCCATGCGACGCGCAGGGTGTAGACCTCCATCCTGTGAAAAATAAAGTAAAGGTCAAAGCAAAGAAGACAAGACTGGCAAGTTTGAATATTGGGACGCTTAAAGGTAAGAGGAGAGAATTGGCATCAATGTTGAACAAGAGAAAAGTTGATATAGCGTGTATACAAGAGACGAAATGGAAAGGACAGAAAACTTTGATGATTGGAGATGGGTATAAATTGTACTATAATGGACTTGTTAGCAATAGGAACGGTGTCGGCATCATCCTCAGCCAAGACCTAACCTCTTCAGTAGTAGAAGTCAACAGGATCTCTGATAGACTAATGAAGATAAAACTCTGCATTGGTCAATCAATACTACACATCCTATAAGTATATGCTCCTCAAACGGGTTGCAAGGAAGAAGAGAAAGATGACTTTAGAGCTATCCTTGATGAAGCTGTAATGGAAATCCCTAAGGATGACCTAGTCATAATTGGTGGTGACTTAAATGCGCATGTGGGGAAAGCAAGAGATAGCTACAAAAGGCATCATGGTGGTTTTGGATACGGAGAAAGAAATGATGAAGGAGAGCACGTACTGAAATTTGCGCAAGCCTTCGACCTTGCCTTAACCAACACCTACTATAGGAAAAAAGACAGTCATTTAATAACATATGAAAGTGGTACTAGGAAAACACAGATAGATTACATGCTAATCTCTCGCAGAAGATTAAAAGATGTAATAGACTGCAAAGTCATCCCAGGAGAAGATATCGCCGCACAACACAAGCTACTAATCATGGATTTACAAATCTCAAATAAATCCACTCAAAATAAGATAAAACTGGAACCATGCATCAAATGGGGCAAATTAAAAACAATGACAGATGCCTTTGCAATCAATGCAAACATTGAAACAATAAATTGCTCACAAGTCAGTGAAAAAATCTGGAACAGACCTTTCATCCAGATTAATAGACACTGCAAAATCGACGCTAGGCTTGACAAGAGGAGGCAACAAATCACACAAAGAACTATGGTGGTGGAATCAAGAGGTACAAACCACTATACAGGAGAAAAAAGCCCTTTATAAAATATGGTACAAATCCAAAAATGCAGATGACAAGTCAAGATACAAAAAATCCAAGAGATTAGATACAAAAGCGGTGACTAGGGCCAAATCTATGGCATACGATGACATGTACGAAGATCTACATACCAAAGAAGGGCAAAATAAAATATACAGATTAGCCAAACAGCGAGAAAAGAACTCTAGGGATATAAACGGAGCTCCGAAAGTAATCAAAAATAAAGATGGGAAATTGATAATAAAGGAAAAAGAAATAATGAATAGATGGAAAGAATATTTTCAGGAGCTTCTCAATTTAATTCCCACATATTGCATCTCGATGAACACTCCCCTTGTCAAAACCTTGTACAACCTATAACGGAACAAGAAATAATCACATGCCTCAAGCATATGAAAAACAACAAAGCTAGGGGTCCAGACGATATTCCAATAGAAAGCCTTAAAGCACTAGGAGATGATGGAATACATCTCCTCACAAATCTGTACAATAAAATACTTGGAAATGAAGAGGTTCCCCAAAAATGGAGGAAGAGCTATCTAGTTCCTATCTTCAAAAATAAAGGGGATCCACACAATTGTCAAAATTACAGGGGCATAAAACTAATGTCACACTGTCTAAAACTATACGAAAAAATAATAGAAAAAAGATAGAGATATAATCGAAATAGGAGAGACACAGTTTGGCTTTATGCCTGGAAGATCAACAACCGATGCTATCCATGCAATTAGGCAAATGAGTGAAAAATACAGAGAAAAGAACAAAAAGCTACACATGGTCTTTCTCGATCTAGAAAAGGCCTTCGATAGAATCCCAAGAAAACTTATCTGGTGGGCGCTACGCCACAAACCCGAAAAATATATAAGAATAATACAGGATATGTATATGGGACATACAACAATGGTCCGTAGCACAACAGGTACTTCAGCAGGCTTCACAATAGCCGAAGGAGTTCATCAAGGGTCGGCTCTCAGCCCACTTCTCTTCATTACAGTAATAGATGTATTAGCACAGTCTATACCTCAAACAGTCCCGTGGAATATGATATTTGCAGATGATATTGTGATACTTACCGAATCCAAGGATGAAATGAAAGAAAGGTTAGTGAATTGGATAAATATCCTAGAAACGCACGGATTAAAAGTAAACAGAGAAAATACGGAGTATATGGTGATAGGAGGAGATGAAACGGAGAGTATTGATATAAATGATTGGCAGATATCCGCAATTAAAAGCTGCAAATATTTGGGCTCCACTATACAAACAAACGGCACAATAGAAAAAGAGATGAATAAGATTAATCAAGGGTGGTTAAAGTGGAGATCTTTATCTGGAGTGCTATTTGACAAAAGAATCCCACACAAATTAAAGGGAAAAATCTACAGTTCCATAGTACAACCAACTATTCTATATAGTTCGGAAACATGGCCAACCAAAGAATCAGACGAGAGAAGTCTACAAACTATGGAGATGAGAATGCTGAGGATGATTGCTGGGGTAACAAGAAAGGATAAGGTGCACAGTACAAGAATACTAAATAGTTTAAAGGTAGTGCCCATTAAGACTAAGTTAATGGTAAACAGACTTAGGTGGTATGGGCACACAATGAGAAGGCCTATGAACTACATAGGAAATAAAGTTGAAAGTTTGGAAGTGATGGGCAAACGTAAAAGAGGAAGGCCAAAACTTCAATGGGGCCATAAAGTTAGAGCCAATATAAAGAAGTATAAAATAGATAAAAGAGATTGTATGAATAACATAAAGTAGAGAGAGATGTTGAAGGAGCTTACCACCAGAAAAGGTGAAAGCTAAAGAGAAAAAAAAAACATTTTGTGTTTTATACTATTGTTAATGGTCTTTTCACGCTAATTTATCAGCATATACAGACTCCATTGAATATGCTTTAACACCTATTTAAAATCTTATCCATATATATTTCATGTTTCAGGTGGGTATTTTGACTGAATATGACGTACGAATTGAGATTTAGAATTCTCTTTTAAATAAACCGATTACATCATTTTTGTCAAAATATGCAAAAATATTTCTAAACTATAACTGCAGCCATTTGTGTGCTTTTTATAATTCATATATAAATGACCTGGTAAAAATTTTCTGATGATATTCCCAAAAATAATTTCTAAAATATTTTCGTACGAATCTTGGGCTTTTTTATTTTATTCCCAAAAAACAATAAATTACCATCCATATATTAAGATAGTTAAGGATAGAAATTTTAAAAGCTACATTTTTCCAAAAAATATTATTCTGTCTTTAGTAAAAAAAAAGACCATTATTATCTGAGAGTATAAAACGTGTAGAATTTTCTGGTCCGAAATTTTTCCAAACACCTTAAATATAAATAATAGCATAAATATAATTTTTAATTATTCATAAATTTTGCAAATGATCAGGAATTAATAGATGTTATATTTAGCTATCAGAGTTCTTTTGTCCCCTGATAGCATAGCATATATATAGCATATTTGTCAAAAATTTTATTCAGCAAGTAATTGGAGAGACTTCTCAGTGCCTATGGTTATATCTTTATGTTTACCAAAATTTTAAGATGGCGTGCCTATTTTCATCAAAGAAATAGACATGCATGTCATTTAATGTAGGTTTTTTTATTTTTTTGTGGAAGATTGCTTTGCATTTAAATTTTCTCTATTTTAAGTATCTACATTCTAATAATATTAATACTTTTTTATGAAGAACATATGAATATCCCTCAATTATATATTAGTATTTATAGACACCACATTTTAATTTTTGTATTTAAGAATTACAAAATTTGGGGACCAATATTCAGGCCAATTTTCTAGGGGCCTAATCTTCCGTGACCTATCTTTCGGGGACCAAATTTTAGATTACTTTCAAATATATGGGGATATAGTATCAAAAATAATATTTACTTTGACTTTTCACAATTTTGTCAACTGTTTTGCTAGAAGCCAAATCTATTATAATAATTTATACTAATTTCAATATTTTGAATAAGAATTAATCATTTAATTTTAGTTCTATTATTTTTTAATTTGTGTTTACCTTACGTAATATGAGAGATGCACCTATACCTGGTGGATATGTTTATATCAAATTATTCAAATTTCGATGCAACTTTGCCCTAAAAAAGGGCTATTGTCAAAAAATTAAGCATACCCCAGACAAGAAATGTTTAAAAAAATGAGGAGCATATTTCCAAAAAATTTGAATTTTTTTATAATGGCATTTTAGTATATATTAATATTTTTTTATTATGAAATAAACATAAAATATTTTATAAACAAAATGGTAGTATATATTAATGTAATTGCATTGTATATTTTTAATTCAAAAACTAAGCTTTCCCTAATTTAATTGGTTCTTAGAATATTTAACGATCATACCCTGGCATTTGTTTAAATCACCGTTTAGAATTTGTGGTGTCCGATCCAAAAAAGGTTTTAGAGAAGTGAATCACTGTAAAGCTTTTGACACAATCAATATATAGTTTATATAGTCAGTCTAACAAAAATGAAAAGGCGTTAGATTGAATAGCGTCTGAATTGGGCCTTCAGTTGCTGAAGATTGAAAGGGTACTTGATGTACGATGGGTGTCTGGAGGTCATCGTAACGTTAAGGCCATTTGGAATAACTAAGCGCATTTCAAAATTTTAACAAATTCTAGCAATAGTGCAAAATTTAACGGCTGTTCACCCAATAAAAAGTGGTGAATTCTTATCAGATTTTCCTTGATGTATGATGTTCTAATTGAATTATCCAATCTGTCTAGCCTTCAGGCAAGAACAATCAATTCACCTAAAGCTGAAAAATCAATAAAGCGAAAGATTTGTGTTTTAAATGGTTCAAGGGTATGCTTAATAGGTTCTAAATCTTTATAATTGAATATTTATTTAATATGTCTAAAGGAGAAAGTATGAAATAACTAAATAAATTTTGATTAGTAATATTCCGACTGAAACTCGTGTGGATCTCGCGAAAAATGGGATGAGGGAATATATTGATAATATTAATTAAAGTAATAAATGCCCTAGTTATTTGAAAGAGTATATTAAAAAAAATCCCGTGTAGTATTGCTGAGTAGCGCGGCTATCATCATATGAATGTCATTATTACGGATTCAAGTGCAAGTTTTATATGAACATATTTCTAGTTTAATGATGATAAACGTTACGGGGTCTCCCCTCAGTCAGTGATTATTCTTCATATATTAAAAAGTAACTGACAATTTAGATGTCTGCAACGAAAACCAATCAAGGAAACGTGTGGTTAATATTATTAATGAAAATGATTCGCTATGGAGATTATTGTAGTTTTTTTTCACCTTTTTTTGATCTATTTCTTTATGCATTATATTATAATAATATAATCATTTTTTAACTATGAAATGCATTCTAAAAAAATTACCTCATATTTTATTCAATACATATGGTGTCCATGAATATCAACAACAAAAACACCCCTTAAATTTTTCTAAAAATTTTACAAGAATTTGTATATATAAAAAAAAATTAAGTCTCCAACTCCAAACAGCAGCTGAGATATGGGCCTCTAAATGTCGGAAAATGGGCATATTAGGAAAAATGCACTCTCTTTAATTTTAATATCTATGAATATAATTACTAGCTTTCTTAAAATTTCTATATATGTACTCCTTTGTAGTAACATTATGTTAAATATTTTTTAAAAAAATTCAAATGTCAAAAACCGGAAATGATCCTTAAATCAAATTGGCATTTTTTTCTCTCTATATACTATAAGATTAATTTAATAAATATGAAAAATTTCAAGTTGAACCGAACATTTTAATTATAGGTCAATTGCAAAAATTCTTAATAAATATTTGATATTAATCAATAATTGTAAAGTCATTATCAAATATTTTATGTTTAATAATTAAAAGAATAGTTTTTTAAGATCTGGAAGAGTATGGGATGGGGGCTTTGGTCAATTTATTTAATAAATTCAATTTTTCTCATAAAATATAGAAAAAATACAAATCAATTTTTGATTATAATTTCATTGGACAATATTTAAAATTATTTTAAAAAAATTTATTTTTATTGAATATTATTTAATTTTCCATAAAAGACATAAAAGCATGAATTTTGTATTCCAGGAATAGATTTGACCTTAACAAGATGTTCGTATGTTAACGTAAATAAAGTGATATTTGCTTTATAAAAATTAAATACTAAAGTGTTTAATATTTTATTCTCATATGGGCGCTTAGCTCTTTCTTAACATTTTAATGCTTGCCATGTGCTGTTACGAAGAAATATCATTCAGCCTTCGTTTCAAAATCAAGTAATGGCATAGATTATGATTATATTGTATGTTGTGTTACTACACACAGAAAAAAAAACATTATACATTTTGATTTAAGAAAACCAATAATTTTAGTTTAAAATAAATATTAAAAAATTGAACCTAAATTTGCAAGCTCACTTTAAAATTAGATTATAATTCTATAAGATTGCAAAAAAATGAGTATTTTCAATTGGTCATCTCTTTTAACCTTTATTCATATAAAATAATTTTTATTAGAAATAATATGACTCTTTTAATCGGAATTATAAAATTTTCGGATAATATCTATGATATTGTCTCGAAAAACGCCTTTATGATATTTGGATTCGATAAAACACCCTTTTCCTTGTCCAATTTTTTTCTGTCCTTGCTATGAATTCAGTCGTAGAATATTCTTGTTTTTAGGATCCAAGAATTTGGTAAAACCGTCAATATCTATTTTTTTTATTTCGAGAATGTGTTGTTTCAAATTTATTTTTCAATTGCTTAATGATTTCACATTAATCGTTAATATTAAATTCTGGAGAAATTTTTAAAACACCATTCTTAATTTTTTCTTGGATTTATAATTTTTTATATCTTTTGTTACTTAAGTGTTTCTTCTTAATTGATGTCTAGCACATTAATAATAATGAATCATTTAGATGTTCAAAAGCAGTATCAATATATTCCTCATAAAATATAGTTGAAAGATTGGTTGAATGCAACCTTTTAGGTCAGATACTGCAGATTTTATAGTTAATTGTCAAATATTTATTCTAGTTCATCATCCAAGGAAGTATATTTCTTAGGCCTTCGCAATATAAGTTATCAAAATTGATTAGAATGTAATCTACAATTTTAAAAAAAGAAAAAAATTGCGAATTTTAAGAATGAGCTAAATATATTTGATAAATAAACAATAAACCCGCCCTCCCCATCCCCATCTTTTATTTACATATATAAAATATATAGAAGAATTTAGCTTAAATATTTTAGAATTATATTTATTAAGAATTTTAACATTTGGTTAATAATGACATGTATCCTAAACCTGTACATGGCCCAACTTGAAATTTCATTTATTTGTTAATTAATCCCATAGATAAACGTAAAAAAATATCGATTTGATTTTATAATCATTTCCGGTTTTTGACAATTAATTTTTTATATAATCTTTAAAATATATGACAATAAAGTTCTACCATACTATAGAGAAATTTAAATGATGCTTCTAGCTCAATCACATCCAAAGATATCAAATTAAAAGGAGTGCATTTTGCCCACAATACCTCATTTTTCAACATTTGGAGACTTATATCTCAGCCGCTGTTTAGAGTTGGAGGTAAAATTTTATTTTTTTCTTAATTATAATATATACACTCTTGTAAAAATTTTAGAAAATCTGAAAGGGTCGGGTTGAAACTCATGTTGAATTGTCCATATGTATTTGCAATATATTTCAATTTTTATATAACTTTTTAAATATCTATTTTACTATTAAAAAATTCTTGGAAAAAAATTCGCCTCCATTTTTTGCCCATTTCTGCGTCTATTATTTATTTTTTGGGTAATAGCTACCCTCTTTCGAAAATTTTACAAAAACACTGCTAAAAAATTTAGATAAAGTTTGATCAAAATATGAGCATTCTCAAAAAGTCTTATTTAAAAAAAAAATATTTGTTCATATCTAATTGGTAAAAAAGGTAATATTAGTGCATCTCTGCCTAAAATAAATGAATACTTCCTAACTTAAAATTGAGGCACACATTATTTCCAAAATAATGAAAGATTTTATTTAAGGCAATCATTATAACCTGAATGCATAGCATCTTCTATTGTCAAGATTTTTGTGTTGCTCACCGTCATTGACTTTTTAATCTTAAAAATATTCAATAATTATATAATTTGGTATTATTTTTATATAGCCTTAATACTTATGTATTCAAATTACAACTTAGCTGTTGTTTTTAGAGTTGTTAAAAGATAACTTTAAATAAATCTAGATAATACATGGTCTAAAAATGTATCTAAACATAGCATCGTCATAAAATGGATCTAGATAGAGATACCATTTTTATCACACTTATATTCCCGAACAGAAACTTTTATTATGAGAGCACAAAAAATGTAAACAAGAGCTTGGACGCTTGGGAATTTTTTATTATTAACTATGGACCAGTTGGCCTAAAGCATATTTTTGGCAGGCTTGGCCTGATCAAAAAATCAAGGCCCATGAAAATCTGATTCTAATTGTATTTTTAAATTCAATTTTTCTAATAATTTATTCCAGCAACAAACAAAATTATTATAGCCCTTGGTTAGGCTTGGGGAATCTTTTCAAATTATTATTGCCTTGGACCTTGCTTGGAAATTTTTTTAATATTAAATATTAGGCATAGGTGATCAGTAATATTTTAACAAATAATATTGATATGGGCATCAAGTAAAAGCTTTAAATATATTTTGACACAAAAGTTTTAATGGGTTGGACCTGACCTGAAGAGGAAAGGGGGTTAAAAAGATAAAAATTGTATATTATTTTCAGATAACAAGTAACAACCTTCAGTGAAGTAATGAGAAAATTACCATTTCCCGCCATTTTTGACGGGCTATCTACTAGTTATTATAATAAGTATAAAATACCAATACCTTTCTGGAAAATCCTTCTTCCGCCTCGATTCTATTAGAATATTCCTCAATAGCATCAGTTCGATCTTGTTTTCTTGACCCATATTCTCTAATCTCATTTGCGTAATATGGATGTTTGAGCTTCTATATTTAACGGTATCAAAAAATATTAATTATATTATATTAAATTTGTATTTATAAAGAAAATTTAAATCACTAAATTTTAAAAATCATGATTTAAATTCATAATTACTTTGTTTTCTTTATATGTTAAGTAAATTAGTTTTTCAAAAGTAAAAATATTTTATAAATGTCAGAGCAAGTAGGCTGGATCTTGACAAAGCAAACCGTAAAATGGTATGAATTTAAAAATCTAGGCATTAACTTAAAAAAATGGCCCCAAAAAATATTTACAACCGGCCAATTTTAAAAAATATATTTAAATTATATTAATTACAAACGAGAATTTATATTACCCAACTTGTATATGAATGAATTCTAATCTTGGTATAAGATGGACTCGGACATATATTTTTATAAAACATATGTCAATTCAGCATAATCTTTATTGGGATTAGATTTTATAACAAAACTTTTATCGCAAAACCTTTAAAGCGAGTATAATACAAATCGCGAGGTCAATATTCAATAATTGCGAATAGTGTTGCGTAATCGGCTAAAAACTACGCCTAAACCTAATAAGGCTAAGCCTAAAAATCGGCTAAACCTAATTAGGTTAAGCCTAAAAATCGGCTAAGCTTAATTAAGCTAAGCCTAAAAATCGGCTAAGCCTAATTAGGTAAGCCTAAAAATCGGCTAAAACTAAAAATCGGCTAAGCCTAATTAGGTTAAGCCTAAAAATCGGCTAAGCCTATATAAATCTGCTAAAATTAAATTAGTCAAAATTCTGCATCGATGCTTAGTATTAATTATTATTTATTTATTTTAGTAAAATAATTTATTTTATTTATATTTAATGTAAATATTTTATTATTATCAACAAATAAACATGATATGATTTAATATTTTTTATTTATATTATTATATTTTGAAATGAAAATAAATTTATTTATTTGATGTTATTTTAATAAAAAAAATAATATGCTGCTATATTGTAAAATTGTAATATTCTTTTTAATATAATTTATTAGTGATTTTCACAATCTTCTTTATAAATACATCATTTATTGAGGAATTATATTGTAAATTTTATTAGATAAATAAACAATCTTTTAGGTGAAATCTTTTATAATTTTTTTATCATTTTTTTAAAATTATCTATTTTTTATTAAATGAGGTGGATTTTATGAAACTTTTTTGAAGAATTTATATGATCTTTTTAAGGATAATATTTTAATGTGACAATTGTCATAATCGTTATTTTTAAAGTTTTTTGAATTTTTTTGACGACAATATGTTAAAATAAGTATTAATAACATGTTTAAATAAAAATTTAGTGAAGATGTACCATAGAAAAGTGACAATTATCATAATCGTTATTTTATGAGTTTTTGGAATTTTTTTGAAGAAAATATGTTAAAATAAGTATTAAAAACATGTTTAAATAAAAATTTAGTGAAGATGTACCATAGAAAAGTGACAATTGTCGTAATCGTTATTTTATAAGTTTTTTGAATTTTTTTGAAGAAAATATGTTAAAATAAGTATTGATAACATGTTTAAATAAAATTTAGTGAAGATGTACCATAGAAAATTGACATTGTCATAATGGTTATTTTTAAAGTTTTTTTTTGACGAAAATATGTTAAAATAAGTATTAATAACATATGTAAATATAAATTTAGTGAAGACAATGAAAAGTGACAATTGTCATAATCGTTATTTTTAAAATTTTTTTGACGAAAATATGTTAAAATAAGTATTAATAACATGTGTAAATATAAATTTAGTGAAGATGTACCAATGAAAAGTGACAATTGTCATAATCGTTATTCTTAAAGTTTTTTGAATTTTTTTGACGAAAATATTTTAAAATAAGTATATATAACATGTTTAAATAAAAATTTAGTGAAGATGTACTCTAGATAAGTGACAATTGTCATAATCATTATTTTTTAAGTTTTTTGATTTTTGTTGACGAAAATATATTAAAATGAGTAATAATAACATGTTTAAATAAAAATTTAGTGAAGATGTACTATAAAAAAGTGACAATTGTCATAGTCGTTATTTTTAAAATTTCTTTGATGTAAATGGGTAAAAATATAGATTGTAAAATTAAAATTGCCTGAGTATATGCCATAGAAAAACATATGGTAATAATAGATTTTCCCCAAAAACAGGAGCAAATTGGCATTTTATTATATTTGTTCATCGGGTCAGAAATTAATATGCAAAATTTATATCATAATATCTAATCCTAAGTTAGAAATTATTATTTTATTACCAATTTTCACCAGACAATCTTGTTTAAAATTTGGGTAAACTTTTTTTTCTATTTTAAAATCAATATCGATGCAAGTTAACTATTTTCGTCAAAAAAAATCAAAAAACTTTAAAAATAACGATTATGACAATTGTCGCTTATCTAGAGTACATCTAACTAAATTTTTATTTAAACATGTTATCAATACTTATTTTAAAATATCTTTGTTAGTAAAATTCAAAAAACTTTAAAAATAACGATTATGACAATTGTCACTTTTCATTGGTACATCTTCACTAAATTTATATTTACACATGTTATTAATACTTATTTTAACATATTTTCGTCAAAAAAATTCAAAAAACTAAAAATAACGATTATGACAATTGTCACTTTTCTATGGTACATCTTCACTAAATTTTTATTTAAACATGTTTTTAATATTTATTTTAACATATTTTCTTCAAAAAAATTCAAAAAACTTTAAAAATAACAATTATGACAAATGTCACTTTTCATTGGTACATCTTCACTAAATTTATATTTACACATGTTATTAATACTTATTTTAACATATTTTCTTCAAAAAAATTCAAAAAACTTTAAAATTAACTATTATGACAAATGTCACTTTTCATTGGTACATCTTCACTAAATTTATATTTACACATATTATTAATACTTATTTTAACATATTTTCGTCAAAAAAATTCAAAAAACTTTAAAAATAGCGATTATGACAATTGTCAGTTTTCCTTGGTACATCTTCACTAAATTTATATTTACACATGTTATTAATACTTATTTTAACAAATTTTCGTCAAAAAAATTCAAAAAACTTTAAAATTAACCATTATGACAATTGTCACTTTTCATTGGTACATCTTCACTAAATTTATATTTACACATGTTATTAATACTTATTTTAACAAATTTTCGTCAAAAAAATTCAAAAAACTTTAAAATTAACCATTATGACAATTGTCACTTTTCATTGGTACATCTTCACTAAATTTATATTAACACATGTTATTAATACTTATTTTAACATATTTTCGTCAAAACAATTCAAAAAACTTTAAAAATAACGATTATGACAATTGTCACTTTTCTATGGTACATCTTTACTAAATTTATATTTACATGTTATTAATACTTATTTTAACAAATTTTCGTCAAAAAAATTCAAAAAACTTATAAAAGAACGATTATGACAATTGTCACATTAAAATACTATCCTTAAAAAGATCATATAAAATAAAATCAAAAAAGTTTCATAAAATCCACCTCATTTAATAATAAATAGATAATTTTAAAAAAATGATAAAAGATTTCACCTAAAAGATTGTTTATTTATCTAATAAAATTTACAATATAATTCCTCAATAAAAGATGTATTTACAAAGAAGATTGTGAAAATCACTAATAAATTATATTATAAAGAATATTACATTTTTACAATATAGCAGCATATTATTTTTTTTATTAAAGAAACATCAAATAAATAAATTTATTTTCATTTCAAAATATAATAATATAAATAAAAAATATTAAATCATATCATGTTTATTTGTTGATAATAATAAAATATTTACATTAAATATAAATAAAATAAATTATTTTACTAAAATAAATAAATAATAATTAATGTTAAGCATCGATGCAGAATTTTGACTAATTTATTTTAGCCCATTTTTAGGCTTAGCCAATTTTTAGGCTTAGCCCATTTTTAGGCTTAGCCAATTTTTAGGCTTAGCCGATTTTTAGGCTTAGCCTAATTAGGTTGAGCCGATTTTTAGGCTTAGCCTAATTAGGTTTAGCCGATTTTTAGGCTTAGCCTAATTAGGTTTAGCCGATTTTTAGGCTTAGCCTAATTAGGCTTAGCCGATTTTTAGGCTATACCTAATTAAACTTAGCCGATTTTTCCACCTAAGATCTCGGCTAAGCCGTTTTTAGTCGGCTAAAATTAGCCGATTACGCAACACTAATTGCGAATAATGACTAATTCTGAAGATATTTATTTCTATGATCATGTAAATTTGATAATACGTTTTTCAAAATAGGTATCAGAAATATTTTATGAAAATATTTAATTTCTTTTAACCATAATAAATTTATATAATGATTAATGAACTTAGAATTGGTTTATAAAAATTTTTTGTGCTATACTCATATGTTTTTCTTCAAAGTCTTATTTTATATAAATCTTGCACAAAGAACTCAGGGTGAAATTGATATTCGATTTGCTATAATATTTATTGTCTGATGAGTACTTAATATTTATAAATTCATCAATCAGTTTTGACATTCACTAACCAAAAACATAGTTATAAGCTAAATAAAAATAACATTACTCACTAGACTGTCTTTGTCTTGGCGATTTAAAAATAAATGACATCCAGGTGAAATAAAGGTTTTCCCCATATTTTTGAATCTTTTGATCTTTATGGAATAATTTTTTTATCCTTGATAGGAAACTGAATCTAATATTAAGAAGCGGCCTTAAGCAGGAAGTTTGCTGAACTTTGGCAAGCACTTCTGAAGTTTGAGCCAATATGTAATGCCTAATTACAATATGTAGGTTAGTCCTTCAATATTACCTTTTATCCTTTAATTACTCAGAATTAAAACTATATAAAGCAATTTTTACTGAATTCTTAAAAGATGATTTGGCTTGAAAATTTTAATTTTCTCAGAAAATATAATAACATGGCTCAGAAATTTTTAATATTTTTAGCATGAATTTTTTAGGTTTATTTAATTTTCTCAGAATTGAATTTCTCAGAAAATTTAATATATGGCTGAAAAACTTTTACTTTTTTTTTATTTTCAAGTCATAAACATGATTTTTTGTTTTAAAATTAATGAATACTATATGTCTTCTGGTTTATGTCATGGAGAGGTTGATTGGGGGGAGGGAACATTTTTCTAGAAAATATTTAAACGAAGTTATCAGAAGCCAATAAAATGTTTTTAAGTGCTATAATAATTACCCATCACTCAATCCAGGCCATTGGGTCTTTTGGAGAGATTTAAATTTTTATTTGCAAAAAATATACAAGTACATCAAATGAAAACTAATAAAAATATTTTCTGAATGCAGGTGAGGGGGGGGGCGGTATAAAAACCTACTTTGAAATAACGATAAGAGTATTAAATGAAAGCTAATTAAAAAATATATTTAATTCATATTTACAGTCACTTGGTTCTAAGTCTGGGAAGGAAGGGAAATGTAAAGTATTTATAACATATTTCCACATGGATATCAAATGCGAGCGGACTAGAATTTAATATTTTTAGGCTGGACTAGCTCTGACATCTTTATAACATTTACGGGCTGGACTCGGCGGACAAAAAAATTTCAAATTTTCTCGGATCAGGTTCGAATTCCTTCAAGAAACATCGAGCCGAACTAGGTGAAAAAAAAAATTGAGTTGGGGGACGATAAATAGGTCTGATGCAGGCCTCTAGTACACAATATTGACCAATATATAACGTGAAAAAAGGTAATTTAATTACGATGTAGGACCAGCGATGGCTGTAACCGATTACATGGAATTCGAGTGTCCTCAGATCACACTTTTTATCGCATAGTTCACAAAAATACTTTGGTTCACTAGTTTTATCCCCTTCGTAAAAATATTCCACAACGAACTGCAACCCTTTATACCAGCAATAAATATAATTAATAAATAATTTGAAAATAAATTATGACAAATTGATTTCCACTATTCGGAAAAATAATTAAAATATAACCAATTAAAGGCTTTTCAATCAAGATCAATTTAGCTTCAATATTCAATTCCATCTCTTTTTTAGGTTCCAATGTGAGTAAACATTTAGTAGCAGAGGACTTCTTATCAAGAGAGGAACCCTTTCTGTCGGGATAAATCGGAAAATCGATGCATGGTAGTTGTGCGGCCATGACTAAATTATCTTAAATATAATTAAAACAAGCATCATAAACTAAAATAATAGTGCTGTCAGGCTGCACTGACATTAGTCATTTATCCGATATCATTTAAAACCAGATCCGATTTTTAAAAATATATTAATGATTTAATAAACTATATTTCCCTGGCACACTCGTTTTTATAATTAAAAAAGTACACATTTTTGTTTATTTTTTATAATATTTTTATAAGGAAGAGATTCAAATAAAGATATAGTTTAAATTTGATTTTATATAATTTAAATAAAATATTGATGAATCACATGATCTTAATTATAGGATTAATTTAAATTTACGATTATATATTATTTGCAGTAAAGTTGAGATTAGGCCTATTCAAAAACGAATTCTAATCGAATGGTGCATTATTCGTATTCGATTCTTTGCTATTAGTATTGGATGAATAATAATTTCTACTATTTGTTTTCGATTTGAATTATTATATTAATCCGAATTATTCTAATAATTGTATTGACAAATTTTTTTATTACAAATTCAATTTCAAGCAGAAAAAATTATTATAATAATCTGATGATAATATGTAATCGAGTTATAAACAAAATTAAAATGTATATTATTAATTTAATTTATAATTATAAGTCAATTTTTAAGGCAAAGAGTTTTTCTTATATTTTCTTCTTTATATAACATGCGAATTTTTGACAACAAATTAGTTCCAACTGAGAAAAGCCTTTCACAAGCAGTTGATGTTCCTTATATAAATAGGTAATCTCTTGCCATTTTCGAGAGTATGGGGATCCGATATGCATTTGTCTACCATGACATTAACGGGTCAGTATCACTCTTTGCTCTTGCTCACTCAGATAAAAATTTATACAGTTGAATATAATTTTGTCTAAAAACGATGTCTAGACCGTTATATTGAATTTCAATCTTATTTGTTTGACAGTTATAATTATCCGCTTATAAAATAAAATCATATTTATTTAAATTGGGGGGGGGGTAAATTAAATACCTGTATAGCTGTTATAACTCTCTTTAAATTTGTCCGTTAACTTGGATATATCAATATCATAATAAGCATATCTACTTTAAGCCTGGGATCTATTGTGGTTATTGCATCATCAACAGTTAAATTATAATAGCCCAATAATTTATTATATGCTGCTTAAAAACCATTGTTAAAGGATTTATGGAAATCAGATTTTCCATTTTTAAGTGTTCAAGAATTAGAATATAATAAGGTATAACCAAATTATAAGTAGGATAATTCTCCACACAAACTATATTTTAGTTTCATATTAAGGCAATAGGATAGCTTTAATTATTATAAGATCCTCCCATTTATCCTATATGTTAACAAAGTATTATATTATTCCCTAACTAAAATTTTTAATTTATTCCACCTAATTTCACAATCAAATTTTGGTTTTAAAAAATTTAGGGGAGAGTATATTTTTTAATAATTACTTTTTTGGGAGAATTACGAATCAATCTAATAATGTTTTTCAGTTTTAAAATAGAAGGATCTAAAAAATTTAAAATTTCTTGTGAAATTAAATTAATTAAATGGGAAAAGCATCGAATTGCCCTATTTTTAATAATGAATATTTTAAAGAAAATATATAAATAAAGGTTTTATAGTTACATTATCCAAAGTTATAAGTAAAATTTTTATTCTCCAAATTAAAATTAATTTAACAAAGGCTTTAAATATATTTTTACCCGAATGTGCTCTATTTATTGGAGCAACATCCAAAATTATGTTATTTACATTAAAATTATCATTAATAAAATTCTGTTGACCCTAAAAAGGAACCTGTTTCCAAATGTCAGATGAAAAGTGAATCTGACTTTTATTTTTGGATATTATTTTCTTTACCAACTGTTCTTTTTCTGCAAATGTATTACACATATGAAATTTAAGAGTATTGGAGCATATTGATTTTACAGAACAATCAAGATCACTTAAAATCTTAAAAACATTTTGTATTGACAGTTTTAAAAGGTATATTATTATCTATAAATGATATTTTAATTACACCTTTAAAATAAAATCCAAAGTTTAAAATCAAAAAATAATATTAACATGCAATTTTTAATTAAATCATCGAATCGGATCAGTTTTTAAATAAAATCCTGTTTACATCTTTTAGTAAATTTTATTATTTATTATATGGCATAAAAAACTTTGACGAATTGAAATGAAACTACTTATTAACCAACTTCTAACATTAAACTTCTTCAACCTGGACCTACCCAATGGCATAGAAGCAGACGCATCCAAACGAGGATGCGCCTGAGTATTGCCAACATTTAGAGAAACACATGATAAATATTATAATCTAGGAGCTTCATGGTGGCCAATTGTCTTGCTATATAGATTTTACATACTAAAGTGAAACGACGTTTTATAAATTATACATAGGCCATTCCACGTCAAATCGATCACGATTTGGCCGACCCTTTTTAAAATTGTTAAAAATTTCTGGAATTATTTAGATAGGTAAAAGAGTGAGAAAGTCGTTTATTTTAGCTTGCTAGCACACCTGGTTCTCGAGATATAGGGGCTCAAAGGTACAAAAAAGAGCCACTTTGGAATCTGTAAAATTTTTTAGTAAAAAATTATAATATATCATTTTGTAGGTAAAAAAATTCTCTAATGGGCTAACAAACAATAATAAATATAGGCGCCATTATAGGCTTTTAACATCCGGTTTACCTAAATTTCTTTACTTGTATTTTTAAGCAAAATAGTGAGTTTGTTTTCGAATTTTTTTATTGTTTTTTATTTAGACATCTTTGCTAAATACATATACAATATCAAAACCTTGGCGACGCTATCGACTCCAAAAATTGATATAAAAAATAGATGGCGCTTTATGAAATTACGGATTATGGTTAAAATTTTGCTGCTAACTTATCAATAACCAGATATTTTCACTTTTTATACTAAAAAATTTTGATTTTCTTTTAAATATACTGATTAACTGAGGAGCAGAGTGAGCATATGCCCATTAGACACTAATAATGTAACAAATTTCCAATAATAAATATCTTTCATATAATTTTTTTAATTTTTAAGGTATGTACAATTTCATCGAATTTTTCATCATTTGATGAAGATAATGGTATAATTTTAGTCGTTAAAACTTTTTTTTACTCTAGATATTTTTTTCTTCGAATAATTCTATTCACATAAGCGTTTTCTTTTAATGAGAGATTCCCCATTTGATTGTAGGGATATATTAATGTTATCAATAGCCTCTTGATTAATTATATGAAGGGGAGAATCAATATCTACATTGTCATTTGAAGTATAAGGAATGTTTGCTAATTTTTGTCGCCATGAAGAGCATATTAACATATCTAAATTGAATGGTAAATTTTTTTGGGTCATCCAGGGTAAAATCTTTCTTAGATTCTCGCGATAATAAGCATGTCTCTGTAGATTAAATAGGTTGCAACATTTTAATATTTGGTACGTCCATCTGTGATATAGAATAAAATTTTAATTGATATACACCTATAATACATGTTTTTGCACTCTCTAAATCCAGATTGTTATTGGTAGACAGACGATAAAATTAATCTGAATGGACAGGTTAAAATTATTTCGCAGAAAGAGAGATCGTTTTAAATTTATTTTGTAAAATATAATCGAATATATGCCTAATAAAATATTCGTTTTTACTGCAGCTGTTATATATTATTGAGCTAATAAGTCATTCGCTCGCTATAGTAGCAAAGTATAGATCTAAAAAATATAAAACATTTTAAGGATAGTGTAGTGGGAGGGGGCAGAACTGGGAAATTTTATCACAATTCTTATAAACGTATTAATATTTTTATTTTCCTTAAGAATAATATTTTTTCTTCAATTTTTGGTAAAAATGTATATTTCTGTTGACATCGTATATATATTTATAAAAGGTGTCTAAATAAAAAGCAAAAAAAAAAATTTGAAAACAAACTCACTATTTTGCTTAAAAATACAGGTAAAGCAATTTAGGTAAACTGGATGTCAAAAGCCTACAATGGCGCCAATATTTATTATTCTTTGTTAGCCCATTAGAGAATTTTTTTACCTACAAAATAATACATTATAATTTTTTTTACTATAAAGAGTTTTTGAGATATAAGCATTTTAAAAATTATACAGATTCCAAAGTGGCTCTTTTTTGTACCTTTGAGCCCCTATATCTCGAGAACCAGGTGTGCTAGCGAGCTAAAATAAACGGCTTTCTCATTCTTTTACCTATCTAAATAATTCCAGAAATTTTTAACAATTTTAAAGGAAGTCGGCCGAAAAAGTGCCTTCTTTGATCGATTTGACATGGACCCACATACCGTTTTAATTTTATTAACATTTTAGCGTAATATTCGATGGCAAAAAGGAGGCAGGATGTAGTAGGTGTTAAATGTTTGAAAAATATGAAAGGAAAAATGGTGATTGATAGTAGGTTGTATTAAGAACACCTTGAAGATCTACATGGAGGGGCTTTTGAAAGAAGTGAATGAATGGAATATTAATGTTAGTTGTGAAAGGAAAGAAGGTCCAGAATGTATATTTGGGAAGGACGAAATTAAGATAGCAATGAAAAGATGAAAAAAGGGAAGGCAGCGGGTTTAACGAGAGTTATAAGATATAAAGGTTCTGATGACTTAGGAGTTGAAATAAATTTAGCAAATCAAATTGACACAGAAGGAGCTATTCGCGAGGATTGGCGAAGAAGTAAAATATTCCAGAATATAAGGGGAAAGGTGATTCTTTGGGGGTCTTATAGAGATATTAAACTCTTGGAACATGCAATGAAAGTATTTGAGAGGGTGTTAGAGAAGCGGATAAGGGAACAAAGCAAAGTTAATGAAATGTAGTTTGGTTTTACAACGGGGAAAAGCAAGACAGGTGCGATTTTTGTGGTGAGACAAATAAAGGAGAAGTATCTTGCAAAGGAAAATAAACTGTATTATGCATTTGTTAATTTGGAGAAGGCATTTGACAAAGCGCGAGGTTTACTAGATGAGCCTTAGAAAATCAGGTGTGGAGGAATGTTGGTTATGGCAGTAATGGCTCTGTATGTGGGAGCACAAACTGCAGTACGGACGGATGATGGAGAAAGTGAAAGTTTTGAAGTGAATGTAGGACTTCATCAGGGATCCGTGCTGAGTTCATTATTATAATGTATGTGGTGGCTCGAAAGATGCGTGAAGGACTTCCATGGTTATATGCAGATGACCTTGTATTAATGAACAGTGAGGAAGAATTGAGGGATAAAATTAGGATGAAAGATGGCTATGGAAGCAAAGAGCCTGAAAATGAATGTAGTAAAGACAAAGGTGATGATTGGTGGGGATAATCTGATGATGGAGGAATCACGGGCTTGTGGTATATGTGGGAAAGGAGTTGCTAGAAATTTAGCCCACGATGCCAAAAATGGGTGCATAAAAGATGTAGCGGGGAAAAGGGAAGACTAGCAATAATGAATTTGGTATGAAACGCGAAAAATTGAGGACAAAATAATATTTAGCCCATTACAGATTTTTTAAATTTAATTTAAATAGATGTATTTACTTCCTTAGCATCTATTAATGTCAATTTCAAATTTACTTTAAATATTTTCTAAGAGATATAAGCGAGATTCACAATTTTTCGCTGTTTTGTTTTTTGCTATATCGTGCTCTTACGGTTAACCCTGGGAAAATGGAAAAGTTTTGCTATTTAGGTGATATGCTAAACGAATGAAAGCAGCCCATAAAAAGTCAAATTGGAAAGAACAGAGATGAGGATGATTAGATAGATGTGTGGGACATCTCTGAGAGGGAGTAATTAGCAAGGAATTGCGAGCAAGAATGGGAATAGAAGTGATTGGAGTGGTAATGCGAAGAAATAAACTAAGATGGTTTGGGTATGTGGAATGTAAAACAAAAGATGATAGTAGTAGGAGGATGAAAACCTAGAGCAAGGCCCAAGATGCCGTGAATTAAGATGATAGCGGCGGATATGAGAAAAATGAATCCTACAGATATTGAAGCTCAGGACCGTCAAAAATGGAAAAGAAAAATCAAAGGAGAAACTGGCCAACCTAGTTAAACCTGATAATAGCTATTGTCATATATTCTCAGCACTTAATTAAATTTATTTGAATTCAAATATCTTTTAATTATTTGCTTATCGAATATTCAAGAATTTACCACAAAAACATAGTAATTAGATAAATCTGAACGTTTTAATAACAAACTTCCAACGTTAATCTTCAAAAAAATTTTAACTTCCCAAATAAATAATTAAGGCTAAAAATTTTAAATATCTAATTATTTTAAAACTGCCTTTTTAGTTTAAATACTGCCCAATTCACTATAAATCTTAAAAATTAATTATTAACCAATTAAAAATTTAAAATACCAACCAAATGTTTTTTTCTGCCCATTTTGATTAATTTTACTGCCCATTTCTTATTAAAAATCGGCCCAAATAAATTATCTTTAATTTTAAATATAACATAAATAAAGAATTTATTCATTCGCAATTAAAAGAATTTATTTAATATATATCATATTTTTGGATAATATATAAAATTTTCTAGAATACCAACCTCCCCTCCACTCCTGCCAAATTTTTAAGAAATATACTAATGATTACGAAATATTATATTTAAATAAAATTTTAATTTTGTTCTGGGGGATCTTTTTAGTTAAAAAAAATAATTCATCATAATAATCTAAAAAAAATTATATATTTAAAATAATCATAAATATACTTTCTTTGGTTTTCTTCATTTTCTAAAAAAAAATATTAAATTATTAATTATTAATAATCATCAATATTTGATTTTAAAAAAAAATGATTTAAATAATTTAACTTTAAAATGTTTAGAGCCTTTAGTGTGTGCTTCGAAACTTTGAGTCCCATTCATCCTTACATTGCATAACTATAGGGATAAAAAACCAAATAAATTGCAAATGGTATAAATAAATATATGGATCAAAGATATTAATATTATTTATTTCTTAGGTCCGGATTTTAAAAAAATCCCATTTTTACGCTGTCCCAGCTTTAAAAAGATTAAATTTTGATTTCTGGTTTTTTTAATTTTTAGCTTGGCCTATTTTTTTAAAATCTCCTTTTTTGAGGCGAGATCCGGATTGAGCTTTTAAAATTTTAATATTTTAAATTGCAACATTTTGTACTCTAAGGAAAATTGAAAATATACAAAGGTGAATGAATTTTAAATTATTCATCGTGGCGCTGTGTAACTTTTTTAAATTCCAAGCTCGTTTAAGTGTGTAACTTTTTAAGCTTGGGTCAGCTTAAATTTTTAATCATAGCAATTTCCGGCTCTAGACCTGCTGGTTCTTAAAATAATATATACTAAAATCTAGAGGCTAAATATCAAGTGTTTAACGCCACAATGATTAATATTTTGTTGATTCGATATTTATCATGACTAAAACTGCTCTAAATACGATATTTACATAAACCTATAATTTTATCCAAAATTTCATCCTTATATTATCATTTTGTGTGGGTACTGTAAAAGTTTGAATATTACACTGTTCATAAGAATTTCAGCTCTTAGATCAGATATTATTTTATATTATAAAAAAATTTCAGCGTATTTTTTTCTTTAATAATTCATTATAAATATTAACATAATCATATATGAGAAATATCGTCGACTTTTATCTTGGTTCAATTAAAATAGTTGGTTATTAAATAGGGTAGGTTTTTTATAAGTATCTGCTATTAATCGTCTATTGTATTTATTTGATAATTTACGTTTGAGTTTTTATTTCTTTGGATCTTGTTTTATCATCTTACTTTAACTTGTAACACTTTGAATAATTTTTTGTGGTCCCACCTCTTGAAATAAGTAAATAGCTTATATTTCGTAAATCTCAAATAATGGGCATTTTATTTTAATTTTTGACTAAAATTTTAAAATTATTTTATAAAATTTAAGAATATAGTTTTTTATAAAACTTAGACAAGAATCGATAAAAAAGAGCCATTTCATGAGCTTTTTTAAATCGAATGACACTTTTCATGATTATAATATATGGTGTGTGGACCTATGCAATTTAATTTTCTAACTTCCAACACAGTTAGTTCCAGAGATATGGCAGGTCTATGCTAAAATGGTGTCCTTACTAATTCGGAAAAATGGATAAAAATAAAGATTACTCAGAAATATCAATCATTAGATAGCCCTTGAATCCCTTTCTTAAAAATAAATCTCAGGTGTTTTTCATTCCAGGGAAAAGTAAAAGTGCCATTGATCTCCATTTTTTGTGGTTTTCAAACCGTCTGTGGTGTAGGCGTATAATTACACGGTGTTGCTGTTTGGAGATTAATAATTCTTATAATGTTATTGACAGAGGTAATAATTTATCTTCATTAGGTTGAAAAATAAAGGATGAAGAGCAGTGACGTAGCAAAAATATATCCATAAGAGGGGGGTTGGAAAAAATTTTGGGCTTCGCCCCATACTTCGTTTTACCTGGTTTTCGGCCAGGTCCCTCCTATAAAAAATATATGTTCTCGTGATCTTTATATCATCTCTGTTAAAGTTGACTCCAATTGGAATTATTGATTCTAAAATATATCAATGTTTTGTGCTTTGTTGGTGTCTGGCTTTAACCAGTATAGTAGCCAGCATAAATGAAAAAATTATTGATAAAAAAAAGTTGGACAACCTTACGATTAAAAGAAGATTTAAAGCATTATTCTGAAAATTTTAACAATGTTTAGTACTCATTTATAAATTAATTAAATCTAATTGGTAGAAAGTTTTGGCATTTAGGGAAAATATAAAAAAAACTACAATATATTAAATACAATACGATATTAATTATTTCTCTCATATCTCTTTGCATCTATCGTAAACCACTCTCCATGACATCTTTGAATCTTTTGCCCTAAATTTGAACATACCATCATCTCCTTGACGCTATTATATTAGAAGTATACTTTTTGTATTGTCTTGAAAATATTGATATTGAAAAAGGCGTATTCACTCTAAAACTCCCTATTGACGAAACGATCCTTATTGAAAAATTTAGACTTTTATACCCAGACAGGTCAATTATATCAAGTTTAATTGAATTCATTGCGGCTGCCCAAGATAAAAACGAAATGCACCGCATTTGGGTAAGCCGCATGTGTGTATTAAGTAAAAAATGTAAGTTCCCTGATTATGGTAAAGTAATAGAAAAAGTAAAAATATCATCTTTAATAAAAATTCAGGCAAAATATTTCTCTTAAAGAAAATATGATAAACGGAGTCTTTAGCATTGGATATGAAATAGAAGAGGCAGAGTTAAAGGGGGATATAATTGTTAAGATAGAAAATATATTTTTAAATGAAAATATAGAAGTTAAATCATAATCGATAAAACATCAGGGTGGGCAGAAAAGTAAAAAGATGGAAGCAGATAGACAATTGGTTAGATACGAGGATAACAATAGAAGACAATGGCATTAAGATGCAATGACAACCAAAGAAATTATTTAAAGGGAAATAATTATAAGGCTAGATATTAGAGATCTGCAAAGTTAGGCCCGGCCCGTACCCGGCCCGAACGGGAATTTTTCTAAATATATCTAAATTTATCAATTTTATATTGAATTTTTTATGTAAATTAAAAATATTTGGTTTTATTTATTGAAACTAAACGACATATAACAAATGTCTTTTATTTTGAGTAATTATAAAGATTAATTTCTATGTTTAAATAAATTCGGGCCGGGCCGGCAAAACTTTTTTAAAAAATTTCGGGCAGGGCTTGAAAAATTAGGCCCGATGCAGATCAAAACTACATTCAAATTTTGTGTATCCATTTCTAATTAAATATGGATTGATATTTAAATGCCAATATTAAGAAAACGCACTACAGCTTAAATATAAAAAAACATGTAAGTCGAATTTATAAAAGATTTAAATAAATTTATAGTTTTTTATATATAAATTAGTAAATTATGTGAGGAACTGTGCTTTGTAAACTTGGAAGAAAAGGTAAATATTTGTTTCTTTAACTGACACAGGCTGGAATAAAAAGCCGCTCCTCCTTCAAGAGCAAACTATATGTTTATTTTTTGATATATATTTATTTTATTTTAAAAAAAATAATTTATATTTTTAACACATCGCTCTATAATTATTTTTATCGATAAAAAATTAAAAATTAAATAACTAAAAAAATAATGGCTAAACTAACCTAATTTTTTTTGATATATATTTATATTGATTTAATAAACATATATACAAATTTTTAGAAAAATTTAAGCTTAGCATATACTAAACTATTTTTTCCTTTACCGGAAATGAAAAAGACCCGAGATATTTTTTAAAAAAATTGATTATTTTTTAAAAAAAGGATTCAAGGGCTAACTAATGATACCAAATATAGGACTTTGTCATTAGTTATCTTTATTTTTATCGGTTTTCCCAAAGGACGCCATCATTCCAACTTTGACAATCATATCTCCGGAACTAATTAGAACTAAAAAATTAAATTGCATAGATCTTCACAACATATGTAATCATCATGCAAAGTTTTATTCAATTTAAAAGACATGTGGAATGTATATATACTATACCGATTATCCCATTATACACTAAGATTGTTTAATAATAAGTATTATATATTTCATATATATCCAATTGATCCCAAAATTGATATATTTATAATTAAATTATATAAATGTTTTTATTTCTTTATTCATAGTAGGTGACTATTGGCGCTGATTCAACCAATATTAACATCGGAGCTTTAGTTTAAATTTAATAGACAATGTAAAATTCCCGGGAATTTTAAGCTCATAATTCAGGCCTCGAAAATTTTAGGGAAACTTTATTGTCCCAAATCGGTCAAAAATAAATTAAATTTGACAAATTATTCTAAACCTAAAATTATATTTATTTCCAATAATTTAGATACAACTAAATCTAAAAATATTAAATTACTCTAATAAATGTTGAAGTGAAATTTTAAATTTGATATTCTTTCCCATTTTTTAGATCTATAAAATTAATATTTTAAAAAAAGATGGCACAAGTATCGGGGGTAAATGGCAAGTGGAAAGTTATGAAGAAAGTCTTGGTGAAGACAATTGAGGAGGTATGTGGATGGACAAAAGGGCCGCCTAGACATAAGGAGACATGCTGGGAATCCGAAAGTAGCGAAGTGGGCGAGACACGGAAATGTTTCAAAGAATGGTATAATAGTAAAGAAAATAGTGATACGATATTTACAATGTGGCGAATGCCAAGAAATTAATAGCGGAATCGTAAGAAGAACAAAGGCAGGAGTTTGCTTAAGAAATGGAATGCGCGGAAGTAATAGGATATGTAGTCCGGATGGCAAATCTGATGGCAAAATGGAAGCCGAATATGGTAGTTGTTAAATGTTTGAAAAATATGGAAGGAAAAATGGTGATTGATAGTGGTATTTCACATGGAAGATCTACATGGAAGGACTTTTGATGAAAAGAATGATTGAATAACGATTAAATTCGGCAAGAACGAATTAAGAGAGCAAAGATGAAAAAAGGGAAGGCAGCGAATTCAACGAGAGTGATATCAGAAATGTTTAAAGGTTCTAATGACTTAGGAATTGAATGGTTAATGAATTTAGCCAGTCTAATTGTCATAGAAGAAGCTATTCCCGAGGATTGGTGAAGAATTATAATTATAGAAGTATACAAGGGGAAAGGTATCTTGGAACATGCAATGAAAGTATTTGAAAGGGTATTAGAGAAGCGGATAAGGGAACAAACGAAATTTAATGTAATGCAGTTTGGTTTTACACCAGGGAAAGCACGACAGATGCAATTTTTGTGGTGAGACAAATACAGAAGAAGTATCTTGTAAAGGAAAAATAACTGTATTATGCATTTATTGATTTGGAGACGATAGAGTACCATGCGAGGTTACTAGATGGGCCTTGAAAAAATCAGGTGTGAAAGAATGGTTGGTTATGGCAGTGATGGCAATGTATTTGGGAGCACAAACTGCGGTAGGGACGGACGATGGAGATAATGAAAGCTTTGAAGTGAAGGTAGGACTTCATCAGGGATCCGTGTTAGACCATTAGTAATGGATGTGGTAGCTCGAGATATGCGTGAAGTCCATGGGATATTATATTAAGATTAAGATGACCTTGTATAATGGTAAACAGTGAGGAAGAATTGGAAAATGAAATTAGTATATGAAAGATGACTATAGAAACAAAGGGTCTGAAAATGAAAGCAGTAAAGACAAAGGTGTTGATTGGTGGGGAAAATCTGAAGGCGAAGGAATCCAGCAACTGGCGTTGTGGTGTATGTGGAGGAGTTGCTAGAAATTCAATCCAATGCACCAGGTGCCAGAAAGGTTGTATAAAATATGTAGCGGGAAAAGGGGAAGTCTGATGTTAGCAAGAATGACCTTTAGTTGTAGAAGGTAAATAAAAGGGGTGCATAATACTGATAACGTAGATAGTGGTTTGGATATTGGCAATGAGTTAACTCAGGGAAAAGTGAAAATGTTTTGTTTGGGTGATATGCTAAACGCAGATGATGGTGTAGATTCTGCTGTTGTTTCAAGGGTCAGACAAGCATGTAAAAAATTCAGAGATGTGGTCTATTCCAAATAATAGTCTCTCTGCAGTTAAAGGGGAAAGTTTATGTAAGATGTGAGATGAGTTTAGTTTATGGTAGCGAAACATGGGCAATGAAAGCGGCCCACGAAGCCAAATTTGAAAGAAGAGAGAGAAGATTAGATGGATGTGTAGGGTAAGTGATAATATAAAAAAATAGAATAAGATGGTTTGGGTATGTGGAACGTAAGATAAAGGACGACTTGGTAAATAGATGAGGATCAAGACCTAGAGGAAGACCCAAGATGACGTGGATAAAGGTGATAACGGCGGATATAAGAAAATGAATCATGCGAATATTGATGCTCAGGACCGTCATAAATAGAAAAGAAAAATCAGAGGGAAAACTAGCCAACCTGGAAATCGTCATTAAACGGAAAAAACAATATTTTGATCGATATTTTTAATAAATATTGAACAACACAATTTATTTAAATCAGAGTTTGAAAAAAATCTTCAAAATTTTTGAGCAAAAATCCTTCAAGATTTTTTTAGAAAAAAGATATCACAATTTTTTTTAAAAAACTCAAAAATGTTGAGATTTTTTTTAAACTGTCTTAAATTCATTATTGCTGTTTAAAAATGAATGGAGATTTCTTAAAAAAAATTTATAATAAAATATGCATTTTTTTTATTTGCTTCCCCAATGCATTTTTTTTTAAACATAATCTTTTTATTTATTAAAAAAGAAGCAATTTTATATTTGGTTATTTTGAGGTAAAAAATTTTATCTGTTTTTTCTTTTATGAATTTTTTAAAACAATTTGTTTTCCGAATGGTAAAAAAAAAGTTGTAATCATTTTTAATGAAATATAAATATAAATTTTATTCTATTTAAGAATATTTTTAAAAAAAATGACAAGGGAAGCAATATTTACCTAACGTCGTTACTATAAAATTTAATAAAAATTGCAAATTTTCTGAAACTATAATAAAATTTATAACTAAACATTCAATGTTCCAAAATCTACTTCTATATTTTTTATTTTAAAAACATCGATATACCTTTAGAGATTTACTTTCAAAGTCTGTTTAGTTAAGATTTTAAATATGATAATATTATCTCGCTTTAAATGACTGAAAATAAATATGAATAATTATTTCTAGTCTTCTAACGTATATTGAAGCTATTCTTACAAATGTAATTGAATAATTTGAAGGAAGGTTCAAGAAACGTTTCTTAAATTCCTGGCCCTTACATTAGTAAATAATAAATATAGTTACGATTTATACCCCTCAATATTATGACTATACACAATTAATTACCTGGCAATAAAATTCGTTTTTGCCCAGATCCTTAGCCAATTCAGGAATAGCACTTGACATTTTATTGGAGATTGGGTTAAAGGAGTCTCCACCCCCGTTTTCATGATGCTCATATAAATCGCCATAGTATTTTTGAATTCTCAAAACATTTTTGGGCTTTTTTTTATCTTCATTTAATTTTTGCTTCTGGTGCTTTTTGGATATAAAATCAGAGGGTAAGTCATTGCCCATATCTATGTTTTTTAATTAATAGTAGTATTGATAATGTAGGTCAAGTATCAATTCATTGAAATCTTTCATTAAGTGACAAGAATAAGAACAATAAATCTAAATAAGGAAATATTAGTGGTTCGCAATAACAAGTTAAGCAAACAATATAACAATAAAGGACGAAAACACATCTTTAAAATAAAGGCTAAAATTAAATATCGAGGTATGGCGCCTCAAAATATATATGTAAAAAAATACTCTTTATTTTATAAAAAAATTACATACTCTCATAACTTTCTCTGGTTAATTGGTTCAAAATGACATTCTTTTTTTCTTTTTCTTCGTCTAAATTCTAATTAATAAAATTGAATAATATATTAAAAAGTTAATTAACCATTGATAGTTAACTTATAAAACCTTTTTATTAATGTATTATAATGAAATAATAAATTACAAATGTTTCATCACGTAATTTTGCAATAATGTCCAATTTTTGGAGCTCTTTATCGGTTTTAACATGAACTTCCTTTTAAAAGATAATTAAATAGTAATAATAAAACATTCATCATTAAAACATTAAAAATTTTCTTTTTAACAAATGAATAAAAAAAATTCTTATTATGTCTAACAGAATTCTTAAATATCTAGACATATGCTCTAGCTATATATATATATAATATTATTTGCGGTAAAAATTAAATCCTATATTTTGTATTGAATTTATAGAAATTCTCTTGGAGTTCCCCTTTTTAAATTAAAACAAGGCAAATTTTATATTACAAATGATGACTAAAAAATCCCAGAAAAAAATCTAAAGATTAAATGTTTTATTTTCAACATCCCTTAGATGATGTGGATAAAGATACAAATTTGACACCCATCGAACTTAAATTTTTTTAAAATAATTGTAAGATTTTATTATATTTGAAGAATTTCCTTATAAAAATTTTAATATAAAGTATAGAACAAGTGTGGCTAAAATGTGTTTAAAACAGCTTATTTCATTGATAAAATTTTGAGAATATTTTATTATTAAAACTAAAAGCTAACGATAATATCTTATAATCATTTTGATATATATTTTCTATATAAATAAAATATCAAAATTAATAAATAATGTCTTATGTTCACTTCAAAATTTGAGTTTTTCTTAAGATGTATCAAACATTTTTATTAAATTTAGGAGTATCGTCGCTATGGGATACCCTATAATTAATTTTCAATGATTTTTTTCTTTTCTTTTTATTCTTTTTTAAAAAGCAAAAAAAATAATCATTACACTTTTAAATGTAATTATTAATCAATCAGTTTTTTCGAAAATTATTTTATAAAAATAATAGTTTATAAAAAAATGCAAAAAAGGGAATCCCGGGAAAAAAACCGTCGGAAAAAACCCCCAGAAAAAAAAACCCCAGATTTTTCATATTTACAGAATTTACTTAAGACCTAATAATATAGGTATATTTTTATTTGGATTGTAATGGATATACTCATATTGATAATGTATAGATAAATTAGTCTTTTAAAAAAATATATTATAAAAATTTAATATAATATATTAATAAGCTAAATTTATTTAGGCCCTAATTCATTATTTAAAGATTACTCATATACCCTTACATAAAAAAATGCTTAAACAAGATTGAAGTTTAAATTGGTACTGGGAAAAAATACTCCAGTAAAATAACCCATATATTTCTTATTATCGGAAAGATTATTTGCTATAGTAATAATTAAAATATCCATCCTTAATTAAGATATTAAGTATACTAAATTTGACAAAATTTTGTAATAATATTTTATTGATAAATCATGATTATGTATATATAAATTTAATAATTTAGAATAATAATTTAGAATAATAATTATAATGATGGACATCGAATATTGAAGGAAATCGCTCTTATAAAATCTGGAAGGCTTCCCCCATCACGGTATTCCTCGCAAAGTTTCTTTAACCGAATCTGGGAATTATAACTGCGATTTTTTCGGTGTCCAACTATCTACACGCCATCGTTCAAGCTTGGTTTCATCGGTAGCCACCTCGCATTCCATTTTTTTAATAAATACCCAGATTGATAGGTTTTTATTCCCAACCAGATTAGAAAAACGATGATGATCCCAACCTTAGCATTGATTTGTGCGTTCTTCGTCGGATAATGCTCTGATTCACGATACATCTGAAGGAAATCGAGGCTCAATTCGACATGTTTGAAATTGAGAATTGCTTTTTGTGACAAATTCTATAAATATGGGAAAAAAAATCCGGAGGTTTTTTTCCCTGGGGTTTTATTATCCGGAGGGTTTTTTCCCGAGGGTTTTTTAGGGGTATTTTTCCGGGTTTTTTTTCTATTACCATTAATCAATCAGTTCTTTCGAAATTAATACTGTTAAAAGAAATTATTTATAAAAATACGAGTACATAAAAAAATGCAAAAGGTAACTATTTTTTAAAAAATACATAGCAGATGTTAAAGTATCAAGATACAAAAATGTAGTATCTGTATCTAGAACTATTTAAGAGATATCTGTATATATTTTTAGATACATTTTGATTAAATTCTATTTTATGTTTTTTATATATAGTATTTGAATTAAATTTAATATTGTGTCCGAGTTTATTTACATAAACCAGATAAATTTTATATTGCATTATTTTATTTATATTAATTTAAAAAATATATATGATAATTTTTAGATCAGTATTTCTAGACAATCTCTGAAGAGAAATTAAAAAATCTAAGAATAAATTTAAATAGATATATTTGACGCTCATCAAATTTTGAATAATTTTTTTAAACCTGTGGGATTTTAATATATTTAATGATTATACCAGTAAAAAGTTGTTAGCTCCGGTAGAAAGAGTTTGGTATGGGTAAAAATATCCTTAGAGATAAACTAATGGTGCAATATTGATAAAAATTTGTCATTATTTTAACCACCTAACCCTAACCCTATATGAATATAGATGTGATATCAGCTCAATAAATTTTTAGCTCACTTTGAAATTTGAATTTTAACAATAGAACCTTAGATTAAGCCAAAAAATTGATCTGTTCTAAATACGTTTTTAGACGATATATCTATATCAATTTGAAAGATTTCTTTAACAACTCTGCATAGTTTATTTATTTATTTTTATTGCATATATAATTAAATTTTTTATATTCTCTTTTTTATAATAATAAATAAATATTTATAACAATAGTCGTCATTTTAATAAGTCATTATTTTATTTGTATAATATTATTTGAATTATTTAAAATTAATAAAGTATTTTTTGACTAAACTGTCATTCCTATCCTATTTGCATGAGTACAAAAAAAATTTTGTCATATATTTTAACAAAATAAAAATTTTATTACTTTTTGGACTATTTAACGTGCCCCTACCTATTTTTTAAAGTAATAAAGTATTGCCGCCAAATATTAATACAGCACTGTATCGATATTTTTATATAAAAAATAAAAACCAAATCTTGCTTGAAGTTATCCATAAAAAGTCCTATTCCTATGTCATTAATTTTCTCGAATTTGTTTAAATCATCTTCACTTGCTTCACCATCTTCCATAACATGGTCACTTGAAACATTTAGTTCCTCCATTTCTCCCTGCCTGTTTTTCAATTTATCATTGGAAGTATTGATTTTAGAGGCTTCTGGAACTAGTGATAAAAGTGATTTATAGGGTGTTTTAGTGTTCAATTTTTTATCAACTTTTTCTACATTTAAATTTTCGTCAATTTGATTTACTGATTTTATTGTGCATTTTACCAAGGATTCCTCTGTTGTAACATGCTAAATTATAAAATATAGCAGTTAAATTTTATTTAGACATGAAAATTAGACATCTACAAAGCTAAGCCTTTTATTTAAAAAATTATAACGGGCCAACAATTTGCAAAAATTTTCGGGCTGTAGAATTTATATATAAAGTATCAGGCAGGGCTAATAGGCCAGATGGGACATTCAAATTTCGGAATATTTTTTTAAATTCAAGCTAATATTTTGATTTATACTATTTAAAAATAAATTATAATATGCTTATTTCTGAGTTGTTTAACCTACTAAAGCTATAAATAAATCACAAAAAAAATATTTATTTCGATATGATACAATTACACATGCAAAAAACAGATAACATAATTGATTTATAAAAGGTTGTTGTAGAAATAGATATCCATAAAAGAAAGATATAAGAACCTTAATTCATATTGGAAAAAAATATTAGATATCGATATTAAAAATGTTATGACTTGAAAATTGTCATAAAAAATTAAAAGGCCAGGGCAGACTATTCGTAAAACTTTAACAGGTCGAGCTTGATTATTCGTAAAAATTTTTACAAGGGGAGCGAGCTAATTAAATTCTGGGCCATGCTTTGCAGACCTCTAATATTTTTGTTATAAATTCTGACTTTATTTTTAAACATACCATTTTATGATTCAGGACAATTACTTCTATACATATTTATAATTTAAAAACAACTATGATATAAAATAAACAAAAGATAAGTGTAAACACCTTAAATAAAAAATAAAGAATATCTATATTTATATCAGTTTGGTAAGGTTTCGGGGAAAAAATATATAAAAGAATTTTAATTTATTTTTTTTGTTTTTGATATTTTAATAAAGAAAATCTTTTTTCTTGATTAACATCTAATTCAGGATTTTTATAAATTGAATGAGGTCAGATATGGATGTAGGGTACTACCCAACTGGTTAATATTAATATTAATATATCTTCATTTTATATATTGGTCTACATTTTGTATATTAACATACTTAGGTAAGTAAGAACAATAAATTTTGCAGCTCACAACTAGGGTGTGCCAATATTTTTTATCAGATAAGATTTGGCCGATTATTCATCTTTTTAAAAAATCGATTTTAGACTGATATAATTATATTTACCAATATGATTTGATAAAAGATGTCTAGATTTTAAAAATTTCCAGATGGCTTCATTGTCAATTCAGTCCATTACAAAAGAAATTAGTTGTGAAAATGCATTAAATGGCATGTTATTCTATTCATAATATTTTACTTAATTATATTTTTAAAAATAATTGATTTTTTTTGGAACAAATATGAATAGAAATAATTCATTTGAACAAATTAAATTCTAATAATTCGTATTTGTTTTTGAATAGGCCTAGTGTAGAGACATGGCCCATAAAAGTAGATAAGATACCTAAACTAGAATGAATTAAAAATAGAATTAGATGGAAGTCAAATGTGTTGAAAGATCAGACGAGTGTAGAGAAAAAAAGGTTATGTATATTAAAGACATCAGGATTAGGTTTAAAAAATATTTGTTAAATATGCTGCAAGGCTTAAAGTAGTGTTGTTAAACGGCTTGTTTGGAGCCGATTTTTAAAAAAAGGCTAGCTCAATATAGCCAGAAAAGCCTCAAGATTTCGATAATATATGTCTAAGGGTAAATTCACAGTAGAGAGCGACAGCAACACGACAAAATACAAATATATGTAATTACCAGAGTTGTTAAAGTATCTAGATACAAGTATCTAGATACTGTATCTAGATATAAAAATGTAGTATCTGTATCTAGATAGATTTTTTAGAAAGGTATCTGTATCTAGATATTTTTTAGAGATATCTGTATCTGTTTTTAGATACTTTTTAAGATACATTTTATATACCCCTTTTTTATTATAAATAAAAATATTTGACTGTAAAATTTATTTTATTTCATATGAGCTTATTAAATAAATAAATATATATACATATATTATATATTAATAATTATTAATACTATAATAAAAAATTATATATAAATAAATTATTAAAACTTATATATAAAAAATATATATAAATATTCATTAATTTAAATATTATGTCCGAGTTTATCAATAAACCATACAAATTTTAATATTACAATATGGAAATGGTAAATTTTATTTTATAACTAAATTTTTAAGTTTATATATTTATTTAGATCTATATCGATGAAGAAGAGGAAGAGGAAGCAACAACAAGTTCTATTGCTTTACCATGACCTTTTCACAATATAATATTAATTTAGGTTTATGCAAACCTATAAGAGCATAATAAAAAATGTATCTGTATACAGATACATTAAAAAAATGTATCTGCATCTTGATAACTTTTAGACGCTGTATCTAAATAACTTTTGAGACTATGTATCTGTATCTAGATCCATTTAAAAAGTATCTTTTAACAACTCTGGTGATTACCAATGACTATTCATAGTGAGCTTTTGCGACGCGACACAACAATCCAGCCACATTTGTCGCATTAAACATAAAAATCAAGTTACAAATCATTTTGTTTTTTTCCATGCGACATTAACTACAATATGGCCAAAAAAGATTTACAAGTAAATTTTTGATATGCTATTAAAATAATAAATGTTATATATATATATATATATATATATATATCAGAATATAAATAAATATTATATTAATAATTTTTTATAGAAAATCAATAAAGAAGATTTAATCAATTCCATTAGATACCATCCTTGTCTTTATGACAAAAAAATGTATAGGTTATAAAAATACCTTGATTTGGAAATTAATATCAGCTGAAAACAATATTGAGACAGGTAATTAAAGAGTTTAATTATTGTAGAGCAATGTTTGAGCAAATGAGTGGTAATGAAAATTATCAATATGAAGAAATATACTAAATTTTGTTAATATTTTATTAATATATAGTCATTGAAATCCCCTACATAGAGACAAGTAGTGAAAATACAGTTCTAAGGAATGTTTGTAATCATATTTTATATAAATAATATTATATATATTTAGCATCACCTTCAACTAGTATTGCATCAAATTTATCTTGCAAAAAATTAATTTTAAAAAAAAATATTGATCAAGGTAACATTTGTAAATATTTTTATTTATTTTAAACTAGATCTATTTGAGAAAATACTTGAAATAGAAAAAATGAAAGAAATAAGATCATCTACAAATTCTTGGCTTAATGTCATGCTAGACCAAACCTTTGAAAAAAGAACAGAAAGGGGAAAGAAGAAGCTTATTAAAATTATTTTTGATATTCTCTTCAACTTTGACACTGATGAAGAATGAAAAATATTATATATTGTTATTATTTCATTGGAGGGCTTTTATATTATTTTAATCATATTTATGACACTTATAATAAAAAAAACTTTCTTTTTATTATATCATTACAAATCAATATAAAAAAATAGAATAATATTTTTAAAATATAAGCTATAATTGCCAAGGTAATTTATTTCTATAAAAATATTCTGAAAATGCATCTCTAATATCTTTAGAAACTTTTGAGGGGTTTTTTACATCTGAGGATTACATAAATAATTATTTTGTTAATGATCTTGTATATTCTTGGGGTATAGATTTATGTTTTCTATTATTTTAATCATATTAAGACACATATAATAAAAATCTTTCTTTTTATTATATCATTACAAATCAATATAAAAAAATAGAATAATATTTTTAAAATATAAGCTATAATTGCCAAGGTAATTTATTTCTATAAAAATATTATGAAAATGCATCTCTAATATCTTTAGAAACTTTTGAGGGGTTTTTATGGATTGAGGATTACATAAATAATTATTTTGTTTATGATCTTGAGTATCCTTAGGGCAGAGATCTATATTTTCTTTATCAATAACCAAGTTGTGTAATAGTGCACAAGTTTTTATAATAGTTTCACTATTGGTGACATTGGTATCCAAGGCTCGATTAAGAATAGGCCATTTAGATGCCAATATGCCAAAGGTGCATTCCACCATTCTTCTGGCCCTTGAAAGGCGATAATTATAATTTTCTTGAATATTTTTACCTGTTTATGTAAAAATAAAATGTAATATAACCTTTAAAGTTGTTATTGGAACCATATTTTTATAAAATTAAAAAAATGCTTGTCACTACTACTATGAATGCTATGTCGCTTACAACAAATCAGCTGCTCTGTCGCCTAATGTTGTGTGGTGATTGTCGTGTTGCTGTTGCTCTCTACTGTGAATTCACCCTAAACCTTTGTTCCTTCTATGAGCAAAATCTTCAGGCTTGGGTAATATTTTTCTGGATGAAGTATTGAGTTAGCCGTTTTTAAAAATCGGCCCAAGCGAGCCGTTTAACAACACTAGCTTAAAGGAAGGCACAAACAAAGTTAAGAAAATGAATTGGATAAATGTCTAAAATTTACTAGCTTGAATAAATCAGCCATATTTGATCATAACTTTAGAAAGTTTGTGCAAATATAAAAACTAAGCCAATTAGGAAAGACATCTTTAAATGAATATTAATAACAATAATCTTTAAAAAAATGCTGCATCAACATCATTTCCTGCTTTTATAGACATAATCTTGACCATATCTGATTATTAAATAAATTTAAATACACGTTAACCTATATATATAGGTATTTGATCTTTATGGTAATATAAATTGTAATTATGCTTTTATCAACTAAATAATTTTTAAAAAAGGTTTTTACAAAATTAAATTTCTTTATAAAAAATGTGTTTTTACAAAAATAAATTTCTTTATAAAAAACGTTTTTTAAATAGATTATCAGATAATATTTCAAAAATTATTTAAATCAAATCTTTTTAATGCCATTTTAAATTAATGTTCAAAAATCTATAAAAAAAAATATAATAGGATTAATTTTTGCCAATTTATATTAGAAATCAATTTTAAAAAAATAAGGATTTATGATCTTAAAGCTCAATATTTACAAAAAAATTACATCTGAAAATAAAAGATAAAAAAAATTGATTACTTGATTTAATTTTGAAATATTTTGTTCTTTTTCTATTGTTAAATTATTATCATTTGGAGCTGGTATTGGATTGTGTGCATGAACATCTTTTAATTTATCTATTGTATCAACTATTTACAAAATATATCTCATTATATTGATAGTTTAGTTAGTTGTATTTTAATAAATTAGACCAAATCACAAAATTATTCCTTCATAACTGTAAAATTAATACAAGTATGATAAATTGTTCAAATCATTAATTTAAGAAATAAATAATTAATCATAAAATTATTATATATAAGTATATATATAAATTATAGGTTAAAATTAAATATAATAAAAAGCCTATAATAATTGACTTTTGCAAAAATAAAATATTCAATTTTATTAAAGGCGAATTAAATACTTGAGACGGTATCCACGTATTTACTAGGCTCCATCCGATAATACTGTTAGAATTTTTTATTCGTTAAATGGAAGATTTATATTTATTTAATCAAATTTCCCAATTACATACGATATTCTAGAATTGAACTTAGTTACTATATTCAGTATAAACTTGAAATTGACTGTTGCCATATATCCTATATGACACTTAATAATTATATTAAAATGTTTCTAAGCAGTATGTAACAATGGAAAATCTGAAAAGGGTCTGGTTATAGGCGATGTGTTGGGGGGGGGGGGGGGTATTATTAGGTAGGTTTTTCCCTCATATAATTTATTGGAGATATTGTAGAACTTGGCTATATTCGAATTTTATGAAAATAAATATGGTTAGCACATTTTTTTGTAAAAATGCCTTTTTAAAAATTTTGAATTATTGTCGTTATTTTAAAAATTTATTAATTTACTCATTTTTTTTCTTTCTAATTCTTCCTTATAGTAATATATAATATTTTTTTGGTGGGAGGGGGGCATGGGGTGCATCAAAATATCTTAGAAGAACCATAAACTTCTGACCTACTTACATTTCTATTTCCGCCTACATCCTTTCTACACACACATTTCACTGACTATTTTATCTGATACCCCCCCCCTCCCCGTTATCTTAAATGAGCCATTCAACAAACAGGAGCTTAATATAAAAAGCTTAAAAGTTGTAAAAAAAATTTTAATTAACTTTGCCACTTCTGAAGTCAATGTAAAAAATTTATCTCAAGCTTTACAAGGAGAGGTATAAATGTGGATAAATAAAAAATATTTATAAAAAAAGGTGTTGTTACTTTGGGAGTAGACTTATGCCAAATGGCGTATTAAGAAATAAAAGCTATATTTTATCTTATTTATACGGATTTTCCGAATCGATAAAAAGTTATGAAGTTAAATAAACAAAGATAATTGCCCAATATTTTTTGAATGTTCGCAATAGTTCTTAGTTCTTACCAAAGGTATATTGTTATATAGAAAAATTTATAAACCTTTTTAATTATATAATTAAAAAATCTTCTAGTGACCTAGTAGAGGTAGACTTTGTACACTCAGACTCAAAGTTAAAAAATTGTAATATTTACAATTAATTGTAATTTTTAAAAATCATGATTAATTTACTTTTTTTATATATTAAAGCCATAGATGACACATTCATTAAAATCATTTAACATACATTTAAACATTTTTATAATCCAACTACCAATATTTAGAGAAAATATGCTAGTCTCAGTAAAAAAGAAAGTCCCCCAAAATATAGGAAGGGTGCTAACTGTTCCATCACAGATGGAAACAATTGAACCAGAGAGGAATTGTTTTTACTGGTAATTTAATAATCATAAAAAAATTTGCCTGATTATATAAGTTAATATTTTATAAATTATAGTTGTATTTTTTTATACTAATATTCATAGCATAGGTTTTGTTTCTTTCTTTACCTTAAATTTTAATGATTATATCCTATATTAATTCAGAACATTCTTTTTTTAGCATGATTGATTTTTAGATAGTAACATTTAATTTTTTTAAAAAAATAATTAGATCTATAAGTATGGAGATTACAGGAAAACAAAACTCCTTGCTTTGATTAGATCACATATGGTCTTGCTTAGTGTTGTTAAACGGCTCGTTTTAAGCCTATTTTTAAAAATGGCTAACTCAACATTTTAGCCAGAAAAAATATTGCTTAAGTCTCAAGATTTTGATAATATATATCTAGACCTTTGTTCTTTCTATGAGCGAAATCTTTAGACATACTTAATATTTCTCTGGATGAAGTAGTGAGTTAGCCGATTTTCAAAATCGACTCAAATCGAGCCGTTTAACAACACTAGTCTTGCTGATGCTGCAAAAAAATTATATTTGATTATGCTTAAGGTCAAAATATGAAGATGATGTGCAACAGTAGATAATAGAAAAGGTAAATAAGAATGCTGAATGGGTAATGATGCAAAATGTAGCCAGATTTCTCAATACCCCGATTATGGTGTATGCTAACTATGGAGCTTCATTTTGCTGGCAAATGTATCCGCTATTTAAATATGATGATGGAAATATAAAAAACATTTATATTAACAATTCTGGATCCCATTGTTAATGTTATTGATTTTGAAGATTATTATTAATTACAGATGTTTATAATTTTACTAAAAGTATTTTAGTTGATTGTGTTTGTCTAGATTTTATGCATATTTCTTTTTATTTATCCTATTTTAAGCATATTATAAATAAATGTATAGAATAAAGATATCTTTTTTTATCATACCTAAAGTTTACTGCGAGAATGGTCATGGGTAAAACAAGTTTAATTTTTTATTTTGTTTAATTTATTTTTAAAATTCTTCTTTTTTTTGAAAACTAAAAATGTAATGCTTATATAGCATCAAAAAATCAATTTACAATTAATTTAATAATTTATATAAAAAAATCAATTTTATATAATAATTTATATAAACACAAAAAAACCAATTTAAAGGTTGGTATAAATCAGGTCATATCAACATTCCACCCTTTAAAAAAAATACACTCCACTCAGATTTTTCTTGCATGTGAATCTTATCGTGCAGGCAACGTTTCTTGATAGTTATATCGTTATCATTAGTGTATTTCATTAACTTTTTCTATTGAAAGTTTATTTAAAAGAAAAATATTTTATTATATATATATTTTTTTAGTCTTTATTTCATTATAAAATTATCAAATTTTTTGGGAAAAATTATATTCCTGCTTGGTCTTTGACTAATAAGACTCTGTTCTTGTAGTCCAAAATTTTGATCATCATTTCTTTTAAAACTTAGAGTAAAAGGTATTGCATTTTCAGTATTTATTTTAAAATGTGTTGTTTCATTAAGTGGTGTGATACTCGTAGACCTTTTTTTGATTTGGTCTAAATGTCTTCTAATAATTTTGTTTCCTGTATCTTCTTCATATATTAAATTCCCATTTTTGCGTTTTACCGTGCCTTTGTCCCATATATTATCCTTGAAGGTTTTATACCAAACTTTGTCACCATTCATGATATTTCTATTTGACGATAAATTACGAATAAATTCATTCACTTTATCTTTTTGTGCTTTGATTAAATCCCATCTGGTTCTTATGGTTCTGTTGAACATCACTTCGCTTGGTATCTTGTTTGTTACGTTTGGTGTGTTGCGATAATGGAATAAAAACTTTTCTAAAGCTATATCTAAGTCTATTTTATTATTACTTTCCATATTCCTTTTCATGCATATTTCCATTGATCTTATCATTCGCTCACACTGACCATTGGACTGTTGGTGGTGAGGCGCGGTGAGAATCTGTTCAATTCCATGATCATTGCAAAATTTCTTGAACAAGCTACTTGTAAAATTAGTATCATTAGCACTGATTATTTTATTGGGTGTACCAAATAAGCTGATTATTTTTAACATTTCTTTGATTGTTGACTCAGTATTTATATATCTCATTCTTCTAATGATAGGAAACTTGCTAAATGCGTCACCACATATCATGAAATTGCTACCTTCAAATTGTGCAAACACTTTTACAGCTGTTTCCCATGAATTTTTTACATTATGAGGATTGTCCGCATATTTAATACACGTATCACAGTTTCTCACCTCCTGATCTATTTCAGCGTTTAGACCAGGCCACCAAATGATTTCTCGCCAACAATTTCGTTTTCCCAGCACCAAGATGCCCTTTGTGTAATTCCTGTAATATCTCCTTTCTAATATTTTTTGCATTTTTGCGTTACAAAAAAAGGCATTATGCAAATCGTAAACAAAAATAATGTTTTACTAAAATATCCCCATCTATGTAAATGAGAAAAAACGCGTGATATTTGTAGATTTTTTCATACTTTAACAGTTTTAACAAGTGGGATGTAGAACTTTTTATTCTTCGCTAGGGAGACTATGTAAATGTTGATTAAAGAAAAAGGATATATAATGGATAAATTATGATACGAAAAATGATCATTTTTTTTAACTTAAATTTACTTTTTAATTTTTTACTTTTATTTTTCTTATATTAATTTTAATTTTCTTTTATTTTGATTATGTTTTTCACTTTGTATTTAATTATATTTATTATTATTCAATAAAGGATTCAACTATAATTTTAGTATATATTTCTTTTTATATTTAGGTTCTTAAGTTCACAAACAAAACCACTCAATTGTGACAAGGCGACAGGGCAATTACAACTTCTCAGTCTAATGCAAATCAATATATACGGTGGGACAAGGAGAAGTGCCAAACTGTATTCTAATACAAAAAAAAATAAATTCCAGAAGAACGTAAGAAGAATATGTAAATAAAAGTGAAAAAGAAAAATTATTTTGATAAGATTATTTATGTAGAATATAAAATCTAAAATTAAAAACAAAGAATTATAAAGGTAGCATTCATAGTAAGATATAAAGAAGTTTGTGTTTAGTTATTTAAAGGTGATAAATAGGAATTTTATATTTAAAAGTTACTGGTGAACTAAAAACCATTTGAATTTTGAAACTTATAGAGACTGATATTTTAGATTTTAGAATTATTATTAATTGATCACTAGAAATAACTATGACAAAGAAAAAGAAACATAAATTGCGAAGGTTAATATTAAACTAAGAGTTTGCTAAGATATAATAATTTAAAAATTCGGCGAATAAGATTAGAATATAAATTTATTGTTAGGAAATAGTTGATGTTGTAATTAGATTCTTATTGAAGATTTACGTTTAACTTTTATTTTAAGGGCTGTGAGAGATAAAACAGCCTCAAGGATTTGATATGTGAATGTAGTATAATATTAGGTTGTAGATTAACCAAAAATCTTCATAAAGAGAAACGGCTTTCGTCATTAGAAAATTTATGCCGCAATTGAGCTCAATTAGAGATCGGATTTTTATTTTTTGAATCAAATAAGATTTTAATACAATTAGAGTAAAAAGATAGAATACTAAAAAAAGTTATGTTAAGATTTTTTTAAAATTGTTTTAATCGGTTTTAGATAGAAGAAAATATCGTGCAGAATGAAGAAATAATTTTTTTTAATAATGATATGGATATGAAATACTTCGAAAAAAAAGAGACTTTTTTTTTAAACAAGTTGTGCTAGAATTAGAGAATCATAATTTT